ATATGAAAATATATTAGTGTAAATAGGCATTAAGAAAAACTTGAAAATAACATGAATATAGAGGAAGTGTGGATAAGAAAGGGTAATGAGGTCATGGCCATGGCACGGACAATGGTTGGACGTATTTCTTTTGGACACATAGCGTGAGTTTGAGTATTTGGATAGCTAGTGCCTCGGCTATGCCTAGATGTCTTAATTTCACTCCCTTTGATAAGTTTGATCGAATCTTGTATATTATTTTGAAGGATTTTTCGAATGGCGTTGAATGTTCTGTCACTGAACTACAAACCCGTTTTCGTTCTCCTTTTACTAGCCAGGCTGGATAGTGTTCACGAGAGCGTTTTTCAAGTCGGTGCGTGGTACTGCCGATGTACTCAGCTCCGCAAGAGCAAGTAAAGCGGTATATGCACGTTGAAGTGGCCCGATGCGACAGCTTGTCTTTCGCGTTCTAGCTGAACAGTTTCTTGCAGGAAAACGTCAGTCGTAGACTCGCATTTAGTACTCTTCTCTCATTTGTTCGCTTGCACACACATGTTTATTGATTCGGGAATAATTCAGCATCGCTTTTCTGATGGGATTTCAAAAGTGTACCGGCTTGAAGCACATTTCTGGGAAAGATCTACTTTCTTTGTTTAAGTCAGTCTTCTTTTATTGATAGGAGTTGAGATGGAGCTCTCTTGTACAAGTTAGTCGAATGAATGACACTTCGACATCTGAAACGATGGCTCCTTCGTTGAAGTCTCAGTGGGAACACCCTCTTTTTCTTCGTTTACGTTTCTAGTGGCATATAGGGCTTCAAGATACACGCTTGAAGTGTCCGTAGCAGTGGTGTTTATTTTTACGGGATGGAGTTGCTAGCCTCATGGCCAACCTCCCTTCTTTACCAGTCTTACGAATGGCTTAGCAAGGTTTCGCAGTACGTCGGTAGGGTGTCGAACCCCAGACGACGTGCGTGGTTGGCTAGTATTCTACCGCTGTGCCACCTACGCACCATCACTTACTGGAAACGGAAGCTATGTACATTCAGTCAATGGAATGCGCCGTTTGGATCCTGCTAACAGTCAACATCCAGTAAATAAAATCTACTTTGATTGGTTGGAGGATTTCATCATGAGCTGACATCATTTGGAGAACCATTAGAAAACCAGCTTGGAGTACTGTCAGACAGCTGTTTAGTCAGCCTAGTTTGGGAATGTTCATCAGTACTTACCCACCAGAGGGGTTCGAACCCAGGACCTTCCGGTTACAAGATGAGTGACCACGTAGACCATTGAGCCACCGGGACCCGATCCTCCACCCAATCAAACAAACTCCCTGAAGAACCAATACTGGAAAATTGATCTGATGCTCACTAGAGACTGGTCCTACTCAGGCAGTTAACCTGAGGTTCTAGTGGGAAGCCGTGAACAGTAGGGTACAGCAGGTTGAAGGTGAGGCAGTAACTCATCGAAGAAGACATTGCGAAGTGTTCGCGCTATGTCATGAATTGTCAGAAGTTGGAATTCATGGGCTGGCCATTGGATTGGCGGGTCCCAGTGGCTTAATGGTCTACGAGGTCGCTCGCCTCGTAACCAGAAGGTCCTGGGTTTGAACCCCTGATGGTGGGTGCGTACTGCTGAAGGGTTAGTCCTAAACTAGGATGACGAAACAGCTGTCTGACAGTACTCCCAGGTGGTTTTCCAATGGTTTTGTAACTGATGTCAGCTCACGATTAAATCCTCCAGCCAATCAAACAAAATCCCTACAAAACCAATACTTGAAAATCTACTTTCCTTTATCGGATTTCACTCACATGACATTTAATAAAGAATAATAAATGACTTGCCCTATTCAGGTAGGTAGTTGCCTGGGGTTCTAGTGAGAAGTCGTGACCAGTAGGGTGCAGCAGGTCTGGCGTGAGGACAAATACTCGCCGAAGACATTGGCTAGGGGTCGCGTTATGTCGTGAATTGGCAGAAGTTAGAATTCGTGGGTCATTGGATCGGGTCCCAGTGGCTTAATGGTATACGAGCTCGCCTTGTAACCAGAAGGCCCTGGGTTCGAATCCCGGTGTGTGCGTACTGATGAAGAGTCCAAAACTAGGACGAAACAGCTGTCCGTTACTCCCAGGTTTTTTAATGGTTCTCTAACTAATGTCAACTCATGATGAAAATCCTGTAACCAATCAAATCCCTACAAACCAACACTTGAATAATAAATATATTTGAAATAAAGTACCTTTAGCTTTATCACCGATAACATCCATGACAGTGGTGAACTGGGTCATACGAGAGACTGTGGATAGCAAAAAGACAAGAATATGTTGGACGACAGCAAGACTCTAGAAGAAATGGACTTTGCGAAAGATTTATGTCTAATGCCACACAAACTCGGAAATCTTCGAGCGGAAACTAAAAACTTGTCGGAGAAAAAGTGGAGACAGGATTTCGAGGGAACATGGAGAAGATAGAAGTGATGAAGATACCTAACCGGCAACAAGAAGAAGCGTCAATCACGCATCAACGGGAGAAATCTGAAGGAAGTTACCTGGTCTTCTTATCTAGGCAGCGTCGTTTCAACTGTGTGCAGCACATATGAAGATGTCAAAGCCAGTTTGGATCCGAAAAGCATGACAGGTGTTCAGTACTCTGAAATTCTTATGGAAATCTGATATACCCAGCATAAGGAACAGGATCCAGATTTTCGATGCTAATTTCAAATGAGTGCTTCTATATGGCTGACGAACTTGGCGCACGCGTCACTAAAAGTGTATGTGATAATGATTCGGATAGGAACACTATAATAATAACTCAATTCAATGAAGTACATCCTGCTATGAAATTCACGTGCAAAGAGGAATCCCAAAATAGAATTAACTGCCTTCCTAGATGTCCTCCTTACAAGAAAACCAGATGGTAACATAAAAAGAAAATTGCATAGGAAAAGCAAATGAACATGACAATATACACATTTTCACAGCTTCATTCCTCTCCAGTACAAAAGATATTTAGTTAGGACTCTCAGCCACAGCGTTAGAGCTATATGCTCAGAAGAGGTAACTGAAGATGAACTAAGGACTGTCTGTTATGCTTTGATTGGAAATAGCTATCCCGACAAATTTATCAAGAAACACATAACAAAGAAAGCGGAAAATGACTACTCATTATCTGTAAACAAGAAGCCTCTTCATATACGACTACAATTCATGCGCTATATACCAATTGAGATAATTACGAAGTAATTAAGAAAATCAGTTCAAAGAACTTTTAATGCTGTCAAACCTCACATCCTTTTCTCCACACGACCAATGGTGATTCCTCTACTGAAAGATGAAGTACCTAGACTAGCTGTCCACTTCCAATTGTATCTACCAATTCAACTGCACTTGTGGTAGAGCGAGTTATATCGGCCGTTGCTCTAGGAACTTGATTTTCCGTACTCTCTCGGGAACATCTCCCACTATGGCTAAGTAAAGGTGTGGTAAAAACCTTCAACAGTTCGATATTAAACTACCTGGTCATAAATGCCCACAGAGCCAGCCAGCGTTGAAGAATCCTTCTCTATCATCATCTCCCGAGTACCAAATAAATTACCAAAAACATCGAGGTACCGCGTACTCCAAACAGGAGAGGCTATCGCGATTCGCATGGAATAACCAGTGCTTTGTGTTCAGAAAAAGCAAGTCCAACCAGCAACTACTGCTGCCCTGGCCGGCCTTCAGAGGAGACTATACACTCATGAATTTGCATTATTAATATCTTTCCTAATTTCTTTAATATTCAATGTATTGTTATGTTGATGCTATTGAACTGTAATCTATTGATATTGCAGTTATTGATTCGATGTTATTTAAACAACATTAATGTTGTTCATAACACACATTCATTCATTCACTATTATGTATATATAACTGTAGAGACTGATGAAGAGCAGGTTATCGAAAAGAATCTTCTTTGTTGAGTAACCATTCTTATAACAGTTGCCTTCGCTCCATAGTGAAGATGAGACGACTGACCTGAAAAAAGTAAACACCAAGAAACTCTTGCAGCTTGTCAACCAACAAACCACTGCCCGCCAAATATGCCTAAGGAAATAGATACAAGTTAAGAAGACAATTGAGTGGTATCACGCTCACGTGGTAGGCCGTCGAGTTGGAAACGAAGACTTCAGCGTCCTATGGAGGACACTAAAGTGATTCAATGAAGAGAAAATAAGCGCAAATAGGTAATCGCTAAGCTAATTAAGGAAGACTGTATAAAAGAAGGGGTGAAATGGAGATATGTGGTGAGACCTATCTGCTAGCCGAAATTGTAGACAACAGTTAACGTCAATGTTTACGTCCGGATCGAGGTCATGCGAAAAAACACAATAACAAAGCTTAACCTTGAGGAACTCAACAACCAATCACAGCAGACTTAGTGTGGGTGGATACGATTCGTAGATGTATGGTCTGACCTTCAAAGAAACGGTCACAAGCAGATGACAGAATAACCTTGAGCAGGAAAACAACCAATCAGAAGACGTTGCTTTTCTGCTAACACTAATGCTAATATTAGTGTACATAAAAATGTATAAATATCTATTGATTTTCTCAATAAACTATTTGTTGCCTGGCTCTTGCCTTCTGTCGTTACAAAGATAAATTTGAAGCACGATGTTCTGCTCGAAACCCAAGGGAATGGTAGTAATAATAAAAATAATACTTTTAGCTTGCTTTCATATTCTTATTTTTTTTCAAAAGTATAATATAAAAGGTTATGTAATCATCATAATTGTAAAGACACATAAAAATTATTCCATCCGGTTCATATATATATTGAATTTCGTTATGCTAACGAAATTGGGAAATACGTATATGTATATATTGTTGAGGAGGGGATAATAGTTTCAAAGACCAACAGAAAGCAGAGCAAACAGTGTTAGCGTGAACGATTCAAATTACAATCTGAATAGCAGTTATAAATGGTATTGTTTGTTTTGTTGTTTCGTTTTATTGTTTTGCTTTCCTGTTCTTCACTTGTTCAATAATCATCTCTTTCTTGGTAAGGTAAACGTTCTCGGTTGACTGAAGTACCTGGGTAATATGTTCCTCCTAAACTACAAGGGTGGAATGCAAATGCAGAAAGAAAAGGAGGAATTATTTGTAGAATGAATATACGACATTTAACTGTGTGTATGAATTCAGGTGAAAAATTTTGATATCTCCGAGCGTTGGTTTGCAGAGATAATGACTGATTACAAGTATGACCAAGAAATGACATCAGTTAGAGAGAGAGCCATTGAAAACCATAAGGGAATACTGGGACAGCTATTTCGTCTTCCTTCATTGGGACTCTTCATCAGTACACACCAATCACTCTACCATGGATCGAACGTAGCTAGGAATTGTTGATCACTCAATCTAGTCGGGTATGCGGATAGATACTCATCCACGGCTTTGCCTGTTGATGGATCGATATATGGAGAAATTTCGAAAGTTAGGATTCATGAGATTCCCTTTCAATATCTGAATGGTCAGTGGATCCTCTTTGTTACCTGTAGGTTCTGAGTTCGATCCCCGGAAGCGTACTGATGAAGTGTCGCAGACTAGGACGAAACAACTATCCAGTACTTTCTAGTTCGCAATGGTTCTGTAGCTGGTGGCGGTTCATGATTTAACCTGAAATCAAATGAGTACACTTAACTTCGGGCTAAATCTTGAGCAGACAGATGTGCTTTGCTATGATATACTATAAATATAAAGCAAATAACCATGATAAGAGACACCTGAACCATTAGAAGTGTAGAAAATTGAGATTAATTTTATTTAATTAAGAAGTTTAACGGTTGTGTTCAAGCTGACGTTTGTAAATCCCATACACATAGAGACACAAATTTTGACGACTTTTGAAATTTTTTTCTGAATACACGGAGTTCCAACATATCTAAGGTGATATCATTATTATGATTATTTCCTTTAATTCCTAGAGGAACATATGGCTTCAGCCGTGCGTCTCCATTGCGTTTGGTTCTCTGCTAGAGTCTTCACCTGGCTCCAAGTCTGCCCACACGCTTTCATCTCCTCTTCACATGACCTCCTTCTCCATGTCACCCTTGCACTGACGACCAACTCGCCGCTTCCCTTTCGGTTTCCACTCGAGCAATGGCTTGTCTAGTAATGTCACTTGATGGCTTGTTTCCTCAGAGGATGGCCAATCCATCTCCATTTCTTCCTGCCTATTTGTTTCACAATCGGTTCCTGCTGGGTTGGTTCGCTCATTGCTAGAGATCTCTGTTGCTGATCTTTTCTGACCGTTCATCTCATCTTGAGTAGTATTGAGCGAAGACAACTGTTAATGAAGGTGTGTAGTTTGTTTGAGATGCTCTTTATGACGCGCAGTGCAAGTCTCTGATCCGTATAGTGAGTAGCACTGACTTCACATTGGAGTTGAAGATTCGGATCTTATTTTTGATACTGAGTGCTGTTGACCTCCATCTCAGGTGATATATGTTGTAATAAATAGTCTGTAAGTGAATGATTTCGTTGTTTTAATCGAGGACTTCATGCATGATTCATGTCTTACATGTCATACAAACTGGAAGAAATACAAACAAAAATCAGCAAGTTAGCAGAAGAGACAGTAAAAACAGGATTTCATGTGGACAGAGGTGATGAAGACACCGGAGATCTACAGCACTTAACACAAGAAAGAAACAACATGTGAATTTGTAAGTCAAATAACTGCCAAGGCATACAATGGAACTAAAACAGCTTGAAAAATCATCCACCATAAGTCTATACGCTAAAGAATTAGGTCGCAAGATTGATTTTGCTAATACTGAAATCATTAGGAAAAAATTTGAAAAATTCACAAAGATTGTGAATAGAAATGACGGAGTAAGATATTTCCACCTGGATCCAGTATGCTCACTCACTATAAGGTGACGAAATCAACACAAATATAATAAACGTTTCCACTATGTCAACGTTTTCTCTTTTCATAATTTCCAATCGTTGTCAATACCAACAGGTTGTATATAGTAATATGTATATGTGTAAAACTTGAACACTGTGGTAGTATGTAATCCCGTATTAGTTTGTTTATTAGATGTATCACACAGTCAGTGAAACAGTATTACTGTTTACTGGATGACGTTTCGAACAAAATTTATTGTTCATAATCATATCATGAATTATAATCACACGACTTTGAAACTTGAGTTTTATAGTTTTTTTGTCATCTCCTATTTGTCGCCATTGGGTTAGTAGAATTTTCCAGATATCTGCGTGTACAGGTGTTGAATCAATCCTGTTACGTCTGCTTGCATTTGATTCAATGAATAAAGCCTCCATGACAGTTTATAATTCAACAAAATTTTATTTATTAGATATATTGCACAAAAACTAAATAGCACCAAGGAATATCTAAGTCATGGAGTGAGGCATATAAGAGAGGCTTTGAAACTTAATAATTACCCTGATAAATTAATCAGGAAGTATTTAGGGAAATGTAAAGACAGAAAAAATACTGATAGTAGTGATAGTGATAATAATAATATTAATTACGACGTGCAGATCAAACATGCACGGGATAATGACAACACCAACAATAAGGAATCTAAATCATCAGTAGTAATTCCATATAAGGAAGGAACCTCGGAAACCGTTAGACACTTAACTAAGCCTGCCTTCACAGTTAACGGATGAGACGAATTAAAGTCTAAATATCTATTAGCAGAATGCGTTGGCTTTTTATAAACGCCACTAGTGTGCAGTGCAGTTTATCTTCTTCTGTTCGTTTGATTTTACAATCTTACACCATAGCTAATTGTCCTTGTTCATTTTCTGATTCAAATGTAAATTGTATTCCCTTCACTAGTGAGTTTGTATGCGTCAAGAAACTAACAAGTTACTTATTCTGATTATAAAAACACTCGTCTTATTTCCCATCTGACTGTATCTGATTGATAAAGCTCATATCATTATTTCTGAATGTACATTATCTTATGTTGATTTTGATTCAAATGTAGAAAATATCCCCATTTAGACATTTGGAAAACAGAAAGATTGAGCGAAGAAATATTCAATTAGATCTTCATCTCACTCTGGCTCTACTCGAATATATATAGCATTTTTTACAGTACACAACAGTTTACCAAACAAGTGGTGATATGTTTGTTGACAATAATTAAACAGTGTCAAAATGTCAATGGGTTGATAATTAACGAAGAAAATCAATACACACAATTAAAAGGTAGAAATGGATAGAATAAATTAATTTTACAAGGATCACACGTAATTAAAGATGAAGTGGTCAAAATAAATAAAAATAAAATAATTTGGACAATTATAACTTTTAATGTTTAGGGGGAGGGGGCGGCTGTTCAGACGAATGCCTCAATGAGGAGCTCAAGATTATTAGAGAATTACTTAGAAAAAATGGTTATCCAGATAAATTCATTGAGAAGAATATGAATTCAGCACCAAAGACAGTCAGTATGGCTACAGTTCCGAAAAAACCAATATTCATAAACTGTAGTTCCTCTTTGACAACATCAGCGAAATAATAACACAGCGCCTAAAGAATGCAGTTAAAAGAGCTTATTATGCAGCAGAGGTACGTTGTCTCTTCAAAACCACCCCTATTCTATGTTCGAGAAATAAGGATAAATTGCCTAAACTTGCCTACCAGTTTGACTGCAGCTGCGGAGCCAGCTACATTGGGCGTACAATTAGGCAGGTTCATCATCGTATTTCCGAACATCATCCTGCACATGGTTAAGCAAGGGACAAACAAGATCTATTCATAGCTCTATTTTAGCACACCTTGTAGGTAGTGAGCATAAGGTTGACGTTAATACTGCATTTAAAATTATTTATCGCATTCCTACTAATCTTAATTTGCTCTACGAGTTCGTCTTCTACAGACAGCTGAAGCAATAGAAATCCACCTGAAGAAGTCAAACCTGTGTGTTCAGAAGAAATTCGTACAACAGTTTTCCTAACCTTATCGGACTACTTCGCACCCCTCCCCTAAATCTCTAAAAGTCATAATTTTCTAAATTATTTTATTTTTTTTCTGACTACTTCAACCTTAGTTACAAGTTATCAATGTCCAAATCGTTTTATTTCCTTTACCAATATGTTACGTAATCAACCTGTGCACACGCTTATTCCTTAATTACTCTTCATTTTTCCAAAATTATGCATTATGCAATCCACGTGTTGTAACCATTTCTACCTTTTAATTGTGTGTATTAATTTTCTTCGTTAATTATCACCTCACTGTTTGACATGTTGACACTGACTAATTATTGTTAACAAACATATCAGTGCCACTTAATTGGTAAATTGTTGTGTATTGTAATAAAAATGCTGTACGTGTATATTAGAGTAGAGCCAGAGTGAGATGAGGATCTAATTGAAAAGTAAATATTCCTTCGCTCCTCAGTCCTTTTGTTTTATTCAAATTCCTAATCAATTTCACTCAAGTAAATAAATGAGGTAAAAAGTTTTGTGAGTGATTATGAGCAATAGTTTGTGCTGGAAAGGTGGTCATCCGTAAATATTACTGTATAACAACACTGTGTGACTTATCAAAATCAAATCTTATCCATAATGGAGTTATACTCTACCACCACAGTGCCCAAGTTTTATACTGATGAATTTAAGCCATAAATTAACAAGTCAAAGACCTTCCAATTATGTCATTGTATCACGGAATGCGTAAATCATGACTTCACGTCCAACAAAGAAGTTTTTCCGTCCTAATACCTTTAACTGTGAAAAATGGGATCTGTTTTCTATTAAATACAACAACAATAGAGAAGAAAGATTATGATTACCTTGAATAACCTGATGGTCTATAACCTGCTGGTAGACTGCTCAATCGTAATTCAGATAGAGCACGTTCTTTCTCAAATCGCTCAGCTGATAAACTTCTTGATAAACGATTTGCTTCACGTTCTGTTTCAGCTAGCCGCTCCCTGACTTTATCTATTTCACGTTGAGTTATATCTGCTCTTTCTTCGGCATTAGTTACCCTGTCGCGTAAAGCAATCACTTCTGTAGTTCTTTCCTAAGTTGAAATGAAGTAAAAAAATAAAGTGAGATATGCAAAATATTTTTTAATAATTTTTAAGTGTTGGCACAAGTGAGAAGTGATATGCCATTGGGTTTTTTCCCAGTGGCTCAATGGTATACAAGTTTACCTTGTAACCGGAAAATCCTGAATCGACCCCTGTGATGGGGGGACTGTAGGTGCATACTGATCAGGAGTCCCAAGCGAAAGAGAAACAACTGTCCAGTACTTCCGAGAGGGTTTTCACTGCTTCTCTAACTGAAGACAACTCGTGATCATTCTCGATACCCAATTTTGTTCAAGTTCCCAGTGGAACATGGGGCTTCGAGCTACAAGGCTTGAATTTTCTGTAGCAGGATAGGGTTGCTAGCCTCATGCCCAACATTTTCTCTTTGCCAGCTTTTTTATTACTGGCTTAGCGAGGTAAAAATGTGAGTCGGCCGGGGATCGAACACTGGACCATGTGCATATTTGGCGAGCGTCCTAACCTCTGTGTCACCCTCTGTATTTCAAGTAGAACGCAGGCCTTTATGCTTTGGAGTTTCAGCAATGGTGGTGTTGCCTTTACGGAGTGGAGTAGGTAGTTCTACACTCATCCTTCCCTCTTTTCCGAGCTCACTGCTGGCTATCAAACTAGTGAGGGTCCAGAAGAATATCAAACAGGCATCGAACCCACTCTGAATATATATGGGGCTTTTGGGCATGCCAACACTAAACTCCTGACTCATGAATATTACGACCACTATTTTTGGTTCTAGTGCGTCAGCGACACGGCTGTAGGATGTTCACCAACCACACATGTGGTCCGGGGTTCGATCTCCGGTCGACGTACTCCTTTACCTCGTTAAGTCAGTAATAAGACTGATAAAGAGGAAAGCTTGGACCTGAGACTAGCAATCCCACCCGGTAAAGGTAAAACCACTGCTACTGAAACTTCGAAGCTCCAGCTTGAAACCCTATGTTCCCCTGGGAAGGCAAAGGAATAAAAATTAAAATAAATAAAATTCGCATCTTGGTATCCTTACTTCGTCCATCTATCTGTTCTTCCTTATCATCATCACCTTAGAAATGACTGATTACGTAATAAATTGTTGCTAACCTCTACACATGACCAGTAGGGTGCAGCAGGTCGGCTGTGAGGAGAAATACTCATCACCGATGACATTGGCTAGTGCCAGCCGCGCTATATCATGAATTGGTAGAAGTTGAAATTCATGAGTCTACCATTGGATTGGCGGGTCCCAGTGGCTTAATGGTCTACGAGCTCACCAGTCTTGGGTTCGAGCCCCTCTGGTGAGTGCGTACTGCTGAAGGGTTAGTCCCAAACTAGGCTGACGAAACAGCTGTCTGGCAGTACTCCCTGCCTGTTTTTCCAATGGTTCTTCAACCGATGTCAGCTCATGATGAAATCCTGTAACCAATCAATCCAATCCCTACAAACCATTACTTGAAAATTAATTTCCAGTTATGCAATTATTTTCACTTCTTCTGTCTTTAAACTGATAGTTCTTATTGTCTGACGTCACCTCAGAACTGGGATAACCTAAGTATAAAGCCATATTATATTAGAGTAGAGCTGTTGGTGAGAATATCTCCCAGTATGGCTAAGTAAATGTGTAGTAAATACCGTCAACAGTTCCATATTAAACCACCTGGTCCAAACTGCCCACAAAGCCAGCCAACATTGAAGAATCCTTCTCTATCATCTAGTGGGTACCAAATAAATTGCCAAAAACATCGAGATATCGCATACTCCAAACACGAGAGGCTATCTCGATTCGCGTGGAACAACCAGTGCTATGTGTTCAGAAAAAGCAAGGCCAACCAGCAACTACTAAGGCCCTGGCCGGCCTTCGGTGGAGACTAAACATTCATGAATTTGTAATATTATCTATCCTAATTTTTTCTGACATTCAGCTTATTTTAGGTTGATGCTATTGAACTGTAATCTATTAATATTACAATTATTGATTCGATGTTATTTAAACAACATTAATGTTGTTAATAACACTAATTCATTCATTCACTATAATGTATAAATAACTGTAGAACCTGGTGAAGAGGAGGTTACTGAAAAGAATATTCTATGTTTAGTAACAATTCATTTGAAAAAGATTTTAATGGGCATTTTTAGTCAGTTAATGTATATTTATTTGTTCATATTACTATATTACTGTCTGATAACAAAATGCCTGCGCGGCTGATACACTCCATCACCTCTCTAAACCAGTAATAAGACTGGCAAAGAGGGGTGGTTGGGGGATATGAGGCTAGCGACCTCATCCCATAAAATTAAATAACACTGCTATCACCGAAACGTGAGGCCTCTAGCTTGAAGACCTATGTTCCACTGGGGGGGGGACGTAAAGGAATAAAAATAAGGTTTAATACTGTAAATCTGTCCTGCTCCACTTTGCAAATGTTGAATCGCTTTCTAAGTTGTTTGTCTTTTTTAACGTCAGTCATTCTACACTTCTTCAACTTCGTATGCTTCTATAACCTACCTGACCCCGATCTACACGAAACATATGCAACACCGTTACCAGACAGATATGGAAAATAATACTGTGGTGAGAGCTGGCTGATAGCCAAATTGGTAGACAGTAATTTACGTCAGTGTTTACGTCCCCAACATTGGTCATGAGAAAAATAAGAACAAAGACTGATTCAAAAACCGACCACAACAGACTTTGCGTAGGCGGATACAATTTGCAGATAGATAATCTGAACTTCAAAAAACGGTCACAGAGAGATGAAAGATTAACGTTCATCGAGAAACCAACAATCAGAAGACTGTGTTTGTTTGCTTACAATAATCTATAATAATGTACATGAAAATCTATAAATATCTGTTGATTTCCTAAATAAGCTATCTGTTGCCTGGCCCTTGTCTTCTGTTGTTACAATATTACCAACAGAATCAAATGATAAGGAATGATTGTAATATATCAACAAACTTTGAAGGGCATGTGGCCATTTCGATTTAATTATTAGTATTTTTTTATTATATTATGAAATTGTACTCTGTCGTAGTCTCTAAACTCTATTCGTATATCAATGAAACGTTAGAATATTTATGAACGAAGAAGAAGGCTTCTGAATGCTTTTTTTAAATTTTTGTTTCAGTTAAGGCCGAAATCCTATATAACCTCAAGGTTGTGTAATCCATTGAAGATAATCAAGTTCTCAGTTCCACTAGGACCAGTTGTCGATTTTTTCAATACACAATCTGTCAAAATACCTATCCACCATCGCATTTTCATCATTGAACAAAGTTTGGAATGGCAGTCACCTCTCTATCTCAACTTCATCGACTTTGAAAAGGCCTTCGACAGCGTTGATCGAGAGGTGATTTGGCAACTACTTCGCTACTACGGGGTGCCGCCGACAATTATACATCTCATCCAACAGTTGTATGACAACGCTGCATGCCAAGTAATCCACAACGGGAAGCTCACGGAATCCTTCGAAGTGAAGACAGGAGTAAGACAGGGTTGCCTACTATCGCCAATGATTTTCCTGATTGCAGTAGACTGGATAATGCGACAAACAGCGGGCAATGAGGAAACAGGCATAAAATGGACTCACACAAAGAACTTGGAGGATCTGGACTTCGCCGATGATATATGCCTGATTTCCCACAAACTGGAAGATATGCAAGTGAAAAGTAACAAGTTGGCAGAAGAAGCATCAAAGATAGGACTCCAGGTGAACATAGAAAAAACAGAGGTGATGAAGATCCCTGGCCAACACCAACAACAACAACAGACAGCAATCAGCATAAATGGAAAAAACCTGAAAGAAACTACCTCCTTTACCTACTTGGGAAGCATTGTTTCAACTACAGGCGGAACTGACGAGGATATCAAAGCAAGGATCGGGAAAGCAAGGCAAGCTTTCATTACTCTGAAGTCTGTGTGGAGGACAACATCATTCAGCGTCAAAAATAAGATCGGGATTTTTCAACTCCAATGTGAAGTCAGTACTACTATACGGATCAGAGACTTGGCGTGTCACAAAGAGCACCTCAAACAAGCTACAGACCTTCATTAACAGATGTCTTCGCTCAATACTCAAGATCAGATGGCCGGAAAGGATCAGCAACAAAGATCTCTGGGAGCGAACCAACCAGGAACCCATTGTGAAACAAATAGGCAGGAAAAAATGGAGATGGATTGGCCACACTCTGAGGAAACCAGCAAGTGACATCACTAGACAAGCCACTGCTCGAGTGGAAGCCGAAAGGGAAGCGGCGAGTTGGTCGTCCAAGGGTGACCTGGAGGAGATCATGTGAAGAGGAGATGAAAGCATGTGGGCAGACCTGGAGCCAGGTGAAAACTCTAGCAGAGAATCGAACGCAATGGAGACGCATGGCTGAAGCCCTATGTTCCTCTAGGAACTAAAGGAAATAATAATAATAATAATCGCATTTTGTTGTATTTTGGACTCATCAGCTGGAAATGCCTGAAGCATACTTTGGATCCTCCTGTTAGTCACCCCCTTTAAAATAATATCAGGTTAAAGTTGAAGGTATCATAAAGACATTTGTTCTAGGGAGAGGTATATTAACACGGACCGATGATTTGGGTACATGGTGATAAACATAAAAGATATTATTTAACAGATGATACCTTTAACGACAGAAGACAACGGCCATATAACAGATCGAGAAAATCAACAGATATTTATAGATCTTATGTACCTTATTATCAGCGTTATTGTTAGCAGAAAAACAGCGTCTTCTGATTGGTTGTTTTCTTACATTATTATTATTGTTCCCTTGGGTTCCTAGTGGAACATAGGGCTTCAACTACACGTCTCCACTTGCTTCTGTCTTCTGCTGTACTTTTCACCTGCATCCATGTTAATCCATACTGTTTGAACTCATCTTCACCCGATCTCCTCCATGTCACCCATGGACGTCCCACTCGCCGCTTACCCTTCGGGTTCCACTCGAGCAATGGCCTGACGCGCGATGTCACCCAACGGCCTCCTCGGTGTGTGTCCAATCCATCTCCACTCTCTCCTGCATATTTGTTGGGCGATTGGTTCTTGTTTTGTTTGTTCCCATAGCTTCTTGTTTGTGATTCTTTCCGGCCATCTGATCTTCAGTATAGAGCGAAGACAGTTGTTGATAAAGGTCTGCAACAGGCTGTTGGAAATATTCTTTGTGACACACTGGCCAAGTTTCTGATCTATCCGTATAGAAGAACTGACTGACTTGACGTTTGTATTGAAAATTCGAATTTTGTTGTTGATGCAGGCTGAGTGACGAATATTTCCAGATTGGTTTCAGGTTGATGAATGTGTTTCCCGCCTTCCCGATTCTCGATTTGACATCCTCATCTGTTCCTCCTGTAGTTGAGACAATGCTCTGAAGTGAATGAAGTAACCTCTTTCAAATCCCTCCCGTTGATGGTTATTGGCGCTGAATGTTGCTGCCGTTATTGCTGTTTGTTGGTTATTTTCATAACCTGCGTCTTGTCTATGTTCACCTGGAGTCATGTCTTCTCTGGCTGCTTCTTCGACCAGTTTGTCGGTTTTCGCTTGTAAGTCTTCGATTTTGTGTGACATCAAACATAAATCATCCACGCGCGAAATCCAGGTCTTCTAGGTTCTTCACGTCGGTCAGGACAGGATATCCCTGTCTTCTCGTTTCCCACTGTCTGACGCATAATCCAGTCGTGCACCACAATTAGGAACATCATTGGTGATAATAAGCACCCTTGTCTGACTCCCGTGTTTACTCCAAACGCTTCGCTGAGTTTTCCGTTGTGGACCACTTGACATGTGCCGTTGTCGTACAGCTGTTGAATAAGGTTGATGAATATTTGGGGTACGCCGTAGTACTCGAGTAGTTTCCAAATCACTTCGCGGTCAACGCTGTCGAAGATCTACTCAAAGTCTATAAAGGAAGTTGAGGCAGAGATTTGATTGCCATTCCATGCTTTGTTCGATGATAATGCGTAGAGTTGCAATTTGGTCAGAACATGATTTGCCTTTCCTGAATCCAGCTTGTTCTGGTCGGAGTTCTGTATCCAGTGCGTCGTTGATTCTCTCCAGGATGATTCGACTCAGGATTTTACTTGGCGTCGACAGCAGCATGATTCCTCGCCAGGTCTTGCAGAGTCCTAAGTCGCCCTTCTTTGGTAGTTTCACGAGGTAACCTTTCCTCCAGTCAGTAGGCACCTTTCCCTCTTTCCAGATCTTTTGCAATAATGTAGTCAGCATATCTGCTGTCGTTTCTGGATCCGCTTTCAGTGCTTCCGGGGGTATTCCATCTTGTCCAGCTGCTTTTCCAGCTTTCAGAAGCTTGATTGCATTCAATACTTCAGCTTTCGTTGGAGGATTGGTGTCAACTTGCAGTTGTGTACGCGCTGTTGTTGGTATTTCTGGACGGGCTGCAGGTAGTGGTCGGTTCAAGAGTCCTTTGAAGTGGTCTGCCCATTGTTTAATCTGTCTTTCTTCTTTGGTAATTGGGTTCCCTTGGCTGTCTTTTATACGTTTCGCTTGTGTTGATCTCTTCCCGGATAGAGACTTGGTTATCTGATGTAGTGTCCTCAGGTCCCTTTTGCCTGCTGCCTTCTCAGCTTCAGTAGCCAGGTTGTCGTAGAAATGTCTTTTATCCTTCCTGGCACTCTTCTTCACTTCTTTTTCCAGTGCTGTGTAAGTTGAGCTCAGCGTCTCTTTCTCTTGTCCATCTTTGCATTGAATCGTTTTCTCTTTCACCATTCTCCTCTCCTCTATTAGCTTCCAAGTGTCCGTTGAGAGCCATTCCTTGTCTTGTGTCTTCTTTCTTCCTAAAACCGTTGAACACGTTTCGTTGAAAATTACCTTCAGAGAGTCCCAATGGTCTTCCACGGATGATTCCTCAGTGGTGCCATGTAGTGTTTCCTGCTTTGCTCTGACAGTTGCAGTGAAAATGTCCCTTGTGGTTGTGTCCTTCAGTTTTTGCGTGTTGAACTTGCATTATGGCCTATCCGGTTGTTTTCTTACTCAAGGTTATTCTGTGATCTCTTTGTTACCGTTTCTTAGACAGTACGTTGATGTATATCTGTTAATCATATCCGCCCACGCAAAGTTTGCTGTGATTGGTTGTTGAGTTAGTCTTTGTTCTTGTTTTTTTCTCATGACGCTGATATGGGATGTGAACATTGACGCAAAATGCCGTCTACCAATTTTTGGTTATCAGGCATCTCTCACCACATACTTAATGAAGGAATCAAGGTTGCTGATTTCGTCCTGTTTGCGTGTCATCAGACGGATGTACTTACAATCCCTAGTGCCTATTGTTGTTTTTTTGCCACTGAGAATCAAACATAGCATTCCGCGTTTCAGCCGCCCACGTAGCCTAGTAGATAGAGCCTTAGCATTTGAAGTGATGAGTGGTGGGTTAGAGTTTCAGTAGGAACTACATCATTCACCGGGAATTGCAGGCACATCCAGATAACGAATCATGAATAGGACGAAGTGCGCATTCTGGATCCTACTGTTAATTACCATCCTGACATCCTAGGACATCATTTATGAGTCCGTACTAGTAACTGATGTATCATCAGAGACAGGACATTGCAGCCCACCATTATCAATCAATCAGACTGCTTCATGGCCAACCTGAAAAAACGACATCTTAAAATCAGCAATGGACAAATTGCTGTTGTACAAAAGATACGTTGATGACACTTTTATAGTTTGTCAGGAAGATTCCGATTTAAATTGTATCTTACAGGAAAAGAACGTGAAACCAAGGCCAAAAAGAGAAGAATACACTTCAGTGCCAAAGAAAAAACTTTATGTGAATCTGGAATTCAGGAGAGACCTAGCAGCAGATATCCTTAAAAGAGGAATCTCCAATTCCCTGAAGAAGACTTTTCCGGCAGCAACTATAAGAGTGATATTCTCTAGCCGCTCAATACTTCGGAGCAACGGGAAGGACAGACTTCCGCATATGACCACTTCAGTTTGCATAAATCAGTTCACCTTCTCTTGAGGAGCTAGGTACATAGGTCGTTCTATGCAGGTCTTATCAAAACGTTTTAGAGAACATGACTGCAAAGAGAAGACACTGGTTCAGTCAGAAGTGCCATAACTGAACAACTCGTCAATACCTGTCACAGAATCTCAACTGACTCATCATTCAGAGTCATTTACAAAGTAAACAAGAATCTAACAAACACAGTGTGTTTCCGACTTCTTTGTACGGTGGAAGCTCTCGCCATATGCATCGAAAAGCTGGAGCTGTGTGTTCAAAAGAAACTAGTCCAGCCTTTACAACTACTATGAACCTAGTTCGGTATGTTCCGTTATCCTTCAGTTTTATTTTTTGTTTTGTTCTCTCTGTGTAATTTTCTCTCTTTGTCTTCATTCAATTCGTCCCACTTTTTTCAGTTATAAAATCAGTTATTTTAAGTTCGTTTCCATGCTCCTCCTTCTCACAACTGTAATTAGTTAAGAATAACTATTTTACAATTATATTCTAATTCTGTGTAATTTTTTGTTTGTATGCCTCTTGTAATCTATATTCACACCACCTAACTTACATTTCAAGTTGAAACATTTTGATTTCAATTTGTTTCCATACTGATTTTGTTTACACCTGTAATTCGTTCTATCCCTATGTATTTTTTTGTGTCTAAGCCTCTTGTGATTCATATCAAGTTGAAAATAATTGTCTTTTTTTATTCGCCTTTAAAATCATTATTTCGTCAGTTATCAAATATTAATTGTGCATACGTTGTAACTGTTTTCTAATGTCATGTAATCTTGTCTCTAAGCCCCTTGTAATTTATATTCGTACCTTCAAACTTTCATATCAAGTTGAAAATTATTATCACCTTCGTTACTATGTGGAATTAAATAAATAATAATAATTGTATCCATGTAAACTAATGAATATAAATGCGACTATACAGCTGTTTTTGAGAATGAAATCGCCGAAAAGATCGCCATCTTTGCTGAACTTCTTGTTCTTTTCAATCTAAAGTCCCGATGGGTATTTTCCATGATTTGCCGAATCAAGGATGCTGATTTCGTCCTATTTGCGAGTCATCAGACGTCTCTACTTACAAACCCTAGTGACTATTGTTTTTTTTCCACTGAGAATCAAACCTAGCATTCGTCATTTCATCCGCCCACGTAGCGTAGCAGATAGCGCCTAAGCATTTGAGGTGATGAGTGTTGGTTTAGGAGTTTCAGTGTGAATAACATCACTCACTGGGGATTGCAGGCATATCCACATGACGAATCCCTAATAGGACGAAATGAGAATTCTGGATCCTACTGTTAGTCACCATCCTCACATCCTAGGAGATCGTCTTAGAGTCCATACTAGTAACTGATGCATCAACAGAGACAGGACATTTCAGCCCACCAAAATCAATCTAAAAAGAATGAAAAAATCCACTTAAAGTGACAATAAATGACATCCACTATAATGTCTATACACCAATATGAGAAAATAACGAATGCTTTATTTGCACTAACCTGAGCTTCAGATAAAGCTTTTTGTTCTTTTTGCCGAGTTATTGTTAATATTTCATTCATATTTCTTGAATTTTCACGTTCTTCTTCCAGCTGTTCTTTAATTTGTTCCAGTTCAACTTCAAAATCATCTAATTGAGCTCTTAGCTGATCATTATCTAAACGTTGTGAATTGATTTCACGTTGTAAGTTAGATTTTTCTGTTTCACAACGTGCTAGTGTATCACGTATACGTGATATTTCTGTTGTAAGTGTATCAATTTCTGCTCGAGATATTCTTAATTGTTCATTGGCTTCAACTAATGAACGAGAGGTTGCATTACTCTGAAATGTAGAAAGTATATATATGTATATATATATATCTCATATTATGTCTTAGCTTGTAAAAAATGACAACACAGTTTTCTCTATTTTACGAGTTGATCACGGATTGATATCAGTTAGAGAACTATTGAAAACCAGCTGGGGGGGAGTACGGGACAGCTGTTTTGTCAGCCCAGTTTTGCACTCATCGGCACTACACACTCACTACGGGAGGCTCGAACCCCGGACCTTCCGGTTACAAGGGAAGCCAGTTCGTATATCATTCAGCCACTGGGACCCGATTCAATGGCCAGTGCATGAATTCTAACTTCTACCAATTCGTGATTTAGAACGACCCCAACCATTGTCGTTGGTGGGACATCCATCCAAACACGTGACATCTAACTGAACCTCACTGGTCACGACTTCTCACTAGAACTCCAGGAAACTCCGTCCTGTAGGAAGTCACTAGCGACCACTAGATTAATTTTCTATACTTGGTTTGTAAGGATTTAAAATGAAGTATAGAAAATTGATCTAGTGGTCGCTAGTGACTTCCTACAGGACAGAGTTTCCTGGAGTTCTGGTGAGAAGTTACTGACCAGTTCGGTTCATCCAGTCAAGTGTGAGGACGGATTTCCCACCGATTACATCGGTTAGTGCCAGTCGCGCTAAATCACGAATTGGTAGAAGTTAGAATTCATGGGCTAGGCATTTAATCGGGTGGGTCCCAGTGGCTGAATGGTATACGAGCTTGCTTGCGTTGTAACCGGCAGGTCCTGGGTTCGAACCTCCTGTGGTGTGTGTGTGTGCAGTGCCGATGATTCCCAAACTAGGCTTATTAAACAGCCGTCTGGCAGTACTCCAGTGCTGGTTACCAATAGTTCACTAACTGATATCAATCCATGATCAACTCGTAAAAACAAAACTAGTCCTTACAAACCAACTATAAACAGTTTTCTCTTTGAAAAGTAATTCAACATCCACTTATTCACAGTTTCAGTCAGTTCCTAGAAAATTCATACAGAGGAAGTTAGTGTTAACTGACGTCAGTCACCTGCATAGTGGATATGGAGGGTTCATTTAAGGTGTAAAACTGTTCTAACAGTGAATCAGTGGTGTGTTATTATGTTTCAACACCAATATGAATTCGGTCAGTGCTTCTATACGGGTCAGAAACGTGGCGTGTCACGAAAAGGATTTCCAACAAGCCACTGCAGACTTTCATCAATAGCTGCCCACTTCACTAGCTCCCTACCGAAGACTGGATTGCCAGACAGAAAGAATAAGCAACAAGAAACTATGGCTGGGAACAAACCAACCAAGGGCCAATCTCTCAACAAATATGTAGGAGAAAGTTGAAATGGATCAGGCATACATTCAGGAGGCCGCCGAATGACATCGCACTCCAGGTAATGTCTCGAGTGGAATCCAAATGGAAGCGACGAGTGTGTCGTCCTAGAGTGACATGGGGGAGATCGTTTGTTGGAGAGGAGGGCATGATAGAGTTTGGTCAACTGTGGACCCAGCTGAAGAGGACTCAGGAAACAGAACAAATTGGAGATGTGTTGTTGAATTCCTGTGTTCCACCTGGAATGCAAAGGAATAATCATATATTATATTATTATCATGTTTCAACGCCAGGAAAATGAGGAATTATTATTCTCTTAAGTTTCCAGTGGAACGTAGGGCTACAATAACACATTTCCATTTCATTTTATCCACTATAGTCGTCATTAGCTTGTTCTATGGTTGCCCATAACCTTTCGTCTCGTCCTCACACGATCTCCTCTATGTCACCATTGGATGCCCGACTCGCCGTTTCCCACTGGGGTTCCACCTGAGGGCAAGGGTTTTTACTTCAGCTGACGGTGCGTCCTCGATTCATCTCCATTTTCTACGATATATTTATTGAGCAATAGTATCTTTTGTTGATTTGTTTGCACAGAACTGCATCTTTAATCCATTCCGGCCATCTGACCTTCATTATGAAGCGAAGTAGGCAGCTGGTGATAAAAGTTTTAAATCTGTTCGAAATGCTTTTGGTGAGATATACCCCTTAAAATTTTTTATTGTGGGAACTTGAAATATAATTCTTGATGTTAATTCACTGTCTGATAGGTTAAACTTATAGTTGGACCCGCCAAAATTATGACCGTCTAATTTCTAAAATTATGTAATGTAAACGCACTGTTATTGTGGCAGATGGTAACTACTAGTGGAATACAAGATGTACATTTTGTTCAGTTAGAAACTCGCCAGCTGGATGTACTTCCATTCCCAGGGAATGATGATATTCCCAATCAAACTGGAATCCTGCACTATGAAGACTTGTACTTCAGCTTAACTTTCAATTCGGGTGAGTTGTTCTGAATAAGCTTGAGTGTACTCAACAAAACATTCTGAAATACTGCTTTTTAGTTTTCTAAACACACTGGGGATAACATCCACTAACTATTTTTGTATATAATGAAGTGGATTTACGCCTCTCAAAAGACATTCGATCCTTCCAGATTGTAGAGATACAGTTTGCTGAATAGCACAAAAAATCACGAAACCTAGGTATATTGCTCACCAGTCCTCAAACAGAATTCAAATGGGAAAGGATGAATCAGATGTCTGAGAATGACATGAAGGAAATCAAGTGAAGAGGAAAGGAAACCTTGTGGGTAATTGTGGAGAGAGTTTAAAAAATGCCGCATAGAACAGAGTGAAGTGGCAATGTAGTGCTGAAGGCCTGCGTTCCGCTTAGAGCACAAGGGAATCATAATATTTAGTTATACTAAATATAAATTCAAAATGCCCTTTTTTATTTTGATTATAGCTTGAAACCACACCGTATTTTTTGTACAGGTATGGAATTTTCAACTTGTGATATCGGTAGCCCGAATTTTGCAGGCCAACCATTGATTTCAGGTGTGCGTCGGTAGGGGATCGAACTCTTCACCACATGCATGGTAGGCAAGAGTCCTAACCTCTGTGCCACCGACTATAGTCAAAACACCTGACACTTACCAAGACTAAATATCAATGACCAGACAGTGTAAACGAGGTATTTCTTTTAAGCTACACCAGTAAAATAAACAACCAAAACTAAAGATAATTTCCATCATCAAGATGGAAGAATGTTTTAACATACAATGTAATTAACTTAAGATATACTAGAGAAGATTTGTAGCTCAGGTGGATGATTTTGATGCAGTTGTGTTCTCTGAGCTAGCCGGATGGTTTATTTGCGAAGCTTTCATTATTGCCCTACTACTAGGCAACATCTTCAGTGCATTCTTCAATTTGAAGGTAGTGAGCTTTTTAGATTGCTCCACGAGTTTACAGGTCATCTCTCCTGGTGAACTGGTAAGTGATTAGTTGCTCTTGGCTGTTTTCACATCTACTAGGCTACTTGTATTGGTAATGGTATTGATTGTTGCCTTGACCTGAAGTTTAACTCTTTGTGTGTGAGATTTCCTTCTTATCGGTTGGTAAATTTTGTCTATTTCACTAAGTCTGTTGATGGACGATTCACTTGAATAGGGCGAGTGATATACCATTGGGCCACATCGTTGAGATCGTCAGTGATGATAGAAACTTGATTTCATGCAACAAATGTGCTAAAGGGATTTTGTCAGACTGTGAGTATCCACCTCAGCACCCGCAGCTTCCACCTTGTTTCTCCTCACATAAAACGAGAAGTCATTTCAAAAGAATTTATGTGTGCACGTCTAACTATGTAAATTTCACGATACCATATTTGGCAGCACGTATTTTGTGTGATGAAAGTAGTGTCAGGCACGAACCAACTGACTAACCTTCTTTGCACCAGTAAATAAACATTTTCCTCCATCCTTATAATATCAAACTTTACTGTTATTATTCTTCCTATGTTTACAATCCTCTCATTTTGTTTCGTTTATTTTCTCATAAGTGTAAACATCATTTAATCTCTTTAATTAATTGTCATTTTTTGTTTTGCCCCTCAACATGCTATATCAACAGAACATTAGACTCAATACTCTGTAACATGCTAAAATTTCCATACTAACTGTATCGACAATACTGTTTGAAACAAACCTGCTGTTATTAATACTAGAGTTATTATTCTCATTTTGTACTTCGTACATTTTTGACTTTATTCCTACTGTAAATGTGGACAAATTCCTGTGGTTACTTTATATTTATATTTTGAGTAAATTAGATGCAATATTTGTGACAAATACTGAGAATTCCATGCTGTATTGTTAGTACTGTCTTTGGAATAAAGTAGATTATTGTTGGTATTATATGGTTGGAGGCAATCGGCCTCAGGAAGCCTTGCCTGACCTACGTTTCGTGTTAGTTGGCACTCACCAGTCAGTCAGCAAGGCATATCTGCAACCTTGAAGGAACTCATGTCCCTTCCGAGATTCAAACCCGCGTCATCCAGTGCCACCTGCAGTCAGAGACGTTACCACTGAGTTATTCAGGCGCTTGATTGAGCTCCTGTAGAACTATGTTGGATATTTTTGATTGAACACTAGTCAGTAACTAGTGTAATGTGTGTCTCTTCTTACCTTTGATGCAGACTAAATTCTATCAGTGAAGTTTGCAATGTAGCCACCCTGCCACTAGGTGGCTCGCCATCATAGTGGATTGTGAAATTTTGGTAAAAGATGGTTGGAAGCAATCGGCAGGAGGTCAGTCGCGAGCCTCAATAGCTCAGTGTTAACGTGTCCAACTTTAGGCAGCACTAGGTGACGCGGGTTCGAATCCCAGAAAGAACATGAATTCCTTCAAGGTTGCAGATACGCCCTGTTGACTGGTGAGTGCCAAATAGCACGAAATCTAGGTCAGGCAAGGCTTCCTGTGGCCGATTGCCTCCAACCATCAAATACCAACAATTCACAGTCCACCGTGGTGGTGAGCCACCCCTAGCGTGGCGGCCACATAGCAAACTTGACTGATAGAATTCAGTCTGCACCGAAGATAGGAATAGACACATTACACTAGGTACTGACTAGTATCTAATCAAAAAAGAAGATTTATTATTATTATTATACACAGATGAGGTCTAGAAGTGCATCAGTCGGGTATAGAAATCGTCGTTAGCAAGCATTCTGCCATGGAACCATCCATGCACAATTATTATGAATCAATAAATAGATTTCTGGGTTAAAAAATGAAACAAAATAAATATAGGGATCAATATATGTATATATATATATATATATAGAATACTGCCTACTATTGCCAATGATTTTTCTGATTGCAGTAGATTGGATAATGTGATAAACAGCGGGCAATGAGGAAACAGGCATAAAATGGACCCTCACAAAAAACTTGGAGGATCTGGACTTCGCCGATGTGATATTTGTCTGATTTCCCACAAACTGGAAGATATGCAAATGAAAAGCAACAAGTTGGCAGAAGAAGCATCCAGAGAAGATAGGACTTCAGGTGAACATAGAGAAAACAGAGGTAGGTGATGAAGATTCTTGGGCAAGAACAATAAAAACAGACAACGATCAGCATAAATGGAAGGAACCTGAAAGAAACAACCTCTTTTACCTACCTGGGAAGCATCGTCTCAACTACAGGCGGAACTGACAAGGATATCAAAGCAAGAATCGGAAAAGCAAGACAAGCTTTCACTACTCTCAAGTCTGTGTGGAGGTCAATAGCACTCAGCATCAAAAATAAGATCCGGATTTTCAACTCCAATGTGAAGTCAGTCAAAGCTACTTGCTATACGGATCAAAGACTTGGCCAGCGCATCATAAAGAGCATCTCAAACAAACTACAGACCATCATCAACAGTTGTCTTCTCTCAATACTCAAGATCAGATTGCTGGCCAGAAAAGATCAGCAGTGGTGAGGGATCTCTGGAAGCGAACCAAGAGAACAGGAACCGATTGTGAAAGAAATAGGCAGGAAGAAATGGAGATGGATTGGCCATACTCTGAGGAAACCATCAAGTGACATCACTAGACAAGCCATCGCTCGAGTGGAACCTGAAAGGGAAGCGGCGAGTTGGTCGTCAGTGCAAGGGTGACTTGGAGGAGATCATGTGAAGAGGAGATGAAAACGTGTGGGCAGACTTGGAGCCAAGTAAAGACTCTAGTAGAGAACCGAACGCAATGGCGACGCACGGCTGAAGCCCTATTTTCCACTAGGAATTAAAGGAAACATTAATAATAATAATAGAATACTGTGAAAAGAGCCTTTGGCGCAGTGGTAGGATGCTCGTCAAACATGTAGGTGGTTCCGAGTTCAATCCCTGGCCGACAACGCACTCCTTTACCTCACTAAGCCAGTAATTAGAAGGATGCATGAGGCCGACTAGAAATCCCATCTCATTAGAACAAATACCATTGCTACTGAAAAAACTTCAAGCCTCTAGCTTGAAGCGCTATATTCCACTGGACACATAAAGGAATAAAAATAATAATAATAGTAATAATGATAATAATACTGTAAAGTGTAGACTAACCTGTATTTCTGTTGAATTCAGCGTAGCTCGTAAATGAGCTATTTCTCTATCTTTTATATCAGATCTTTCACGTTCATTCGATAGATCAGCATCTTTGTCTTCTAAATCTACCTTACAATTTGTTAATTTATTTTCACTTGTTTCCCAACGGATTCTCCAACTTTCAGCCTCCTCATTTGCTGTTCTCAACTGATCAATTAATTTATTACATTCACTATCACGCTCGGTTAATACACGTTCTAGTCGGGATAATTCATTTAAGTAGTCTTTAATTCTTTGTTTTAATTCATCTCTTTCTTCACCCGCATCCTGTGAAATGTATATAAGGAAGTAAAGCTATTAGCATTAAATAGCGAAACGTCAGTAAAAACAATATCGTTTTGTTTTTCATTCATTGGGAAATACAAAAACCTTTATTATAATGAAAGAAGTAAAGGATTTAAATAATTCTAGTTATAATTGTCAATTATTTTTTTTTAATGTGTTAGTTTTTGACAGTTTGAGGAGTTTCAAGTTAGATTATGAAAGAGCTCACCTCGTAAAATGAAAGTTTTAGGTGCCTATTGGTGAAGAGAGATTCGAAAAAGGATGAAATATTTGTCAAGTACTTTCTGGTTTTCAATAGTTCTCTAAGCCATGTCATTTCGCGATTATTATTGTTATTAGTATTAGTATTATTATTCCCTTGGGTTCCGAGTGGAAAATACGGCTTAAACAACATATTTTCACTGCGGCACTCTAACAAATAGTTCCCATTAGCTTTTGTTCTCCTTTCTTTGTTACTATTATATTGTTGCTCACATATTCTATTACACACTAATTTTATATATCATATCCTGTGGTGCATTGTTTAAATATGTGAATGCAATGCTGTTCTTTTTTACTTCTTTTATTTATCTTTTTTCTTTTTGTTGTTGTTGCTTTTTATTTTTAAAATCTTATAAAATTTATGAGGTAATTAGATGCAATATTGTAATGAACGCTGAAAATTCCATAACTGTACCACAAATACTGTTTGGAGTAAAGCTATTATTATTATTATAATTATTGATATGGGAATAAAACTTGTGCACTGTGGAAGAGTATAACTCCATTGTGGATAAAATTTATATTGATAAAGTCTCACAATGTTATACAGTCATATAAAATAAAATGAACAGAAGAAGGTAAACTGCACACTAGCATTTGTAAAAAGCCAACGCATTCTGTTAATAGATATTTAGACTTTAATTCATCATCTCATCCATTAACTGTAAAAGCAGGCTTAGTTAAGTGTCCAACAAACAGAGCAATAGCACTAAATAGTACAAAATATAAAATTGGGCACCAATTGAGAAGTAGACATTTGTAAAAATTATATTTGTGTAAAATCTCAGCGAAATTGAAGTGAGTAATTTCAATCTTTCTTTCGTTCGGTAAACTGGTCCGAACTTCTTCAAGGAAGCTAATCGAAATTAACGCGACTGCATTCAATAGAAATGGGACACAAAATCGACTATGAGAGGACTAAGGTTATACAGAATGGTTTTGGTTCGTATAAAGAAAGACTGACTGAGGAAGCCCTACATAGATGGGTGAATCGTAATGGTTTGAAGAGACGTGAAGGTGTGATGCTAGCTGATGTATGGCAAATCCTGACTAACAAATAAAGAATGGATATGTATCACCAATTAATCATACTTAGTCTAAATTCCCAACAGTCTATATCTTCTTATGGAGAGGCTAACAAATGTTTTACAACTGTTTACCCACACACACATACACACACACCATTATATACTGCATAACATATAAACATTTTGCATATTCAGTTATCTACGACCATGAACTTTTAGTCGGACGTAGTTACTGAAATTCTGATGAAAAGTACACTCTGTTTACAGTGTTTGACAAAATGCAGACTAATTTTTGAAAGTCTGAGGTCTTATTTTGATCACAGTTCATATAATTTTGTTTATTATACATGCTGATACCTGTTCCATGACTCATATAACTGGAGAAAGTTTTTTAAAAACAAGAGTTGTCCGTTTCTGCATATAAACCTCTGTTATGTTAATTTGGATTAATTTCCCTGAAGAATTTCGGACCAGTTTGCCGAACGAAGGAAACATTGAAATTACTCATTTCAATTTTGCTGAGATCTTACACAAATATAATTTCTACAAAATATTCCTTCATTAAGTCTTTCGTCTTCTAACGTTACAGTTTCTACTTACTATCCATCCACTTGAAGTTATCTAAACACACTAGACGGGCATTTCTCTTTTCTGAGGCCAGACTAATCAATGATGTACCATAGTTTGACTCAGGTGAGAGAGGTGGATCATTTCAAACCACCGAATCTCTGGTTAGCTATTTGGGTGGACTGGTAATTTTTGATAAATTAAACCCACAATTTGCGAATTAATTTTGTTTAGATCTGTCTGGGAAACAGGCACTACTGGTTGATGTGAATAGTACTCAACTACTCATCTGATTCAGTCAGTAGTTTATATATAAAGTTTTATACAATTATGTTTAGTCTCTTGATTGCCATTCATGGTATCAAAGGGATCATGCATTGGGATCTGAATGATGATTTAGGTTTCCAGTGGAAACTGGGTCAAATTGTGCGTGCGAATATAAATACATCCCAAAAGGGATATGAGCACTATATTCATTCTTCATTAGTTAGGGTGTCGTTGAGGCCAGTCTAGTCACCAAGTTAGGACGGGTTATGCCAAAGAGTCAGGCAGCTGTGTAGGTAAGGCTGAGATCTAACAGAACAAGTGACTAACACAGTATTCATCAACGTTATTTCTAATTGGGGTTAACAAACAGAAGAACTCATGGATTTCAAGTAGTGTAAATTACTAGCCGCCTAGAATTGGTAAGTCGAATAGAAGTTATACTAAACTGAAGATCAGATGGCCTGAAAGAATCACCAACAGGAAACTATGGGAACAAACAAAACAAGAACCAGTCGCTCAACAAATATGCAGGAGAAAGTGGAGATGGATTGGAACTAGCTGAGGAGGCCGCTGGGTGACATCGCGTGTCAGGCCCTCGAATGGAACCCGAAAGGGAAGCGGCGAATGGGACGTCCAAGGGTGACATGGAGGAGATCGTGTGAAGAGGAGTTGAAACAGTATGGACTAACTTGGATGCAGGTGAAAAGTACAGCAGAAGACAGAAACAAGTGGAGACGTGCAGTTGAAGCCCTATGTTCCACTAGGAACCCAAGGGAACAATAATAATAATAATAGAAGTTATCCTTTCGGCTCGTACTCTTTATGATACAATGTCCTTGGAAATATTTAATTCCATTGTTTAGTAATGTAAGCAAATATTTATGAGTAATTTACAATGTTTCCTCATTTTTTGATTTCTATGTAGAACTTAGTGTTATGTTCTTTTACAGGAGAGATTTGATTCTCTAACTCATGTTAGCTCATGATGAAATCCCCCAACCAATCAAACAAAACCCCTAGGAAAATCAATACTTGAAAATTGATCTGATGTTCACTAGCGACTGTCCCTATTCAGGTAGGTAGTTACCTGAGGTTCTAATGGGAATTCGTAACCAGTAGGGTACAGCAGGTCGGGTGTGAGGACAAATACTCGCCACCGGTGACACTGGCTAGTGCCAGTCGTACTATATTGTGAATTGGCAGAAGCTAGAATTCATGGGTTGGCCGTTGGATCGGGTTCCAGTGGCTTAATGGTCTACGAGTTAGCCTTGTAACTGGAAGGTTCTGGGTTCGAACCCCGGTAGATGGATATTGATAAAGAGTTCCAAACTAGGCTGAAAAAAAGCTGTCTGACAGTAATCCCTAGTGGTTTTCCAGTGGTCCTCTGACCAATGTCAGATCATGATGAAATCCCTTAACCGATTAAACAAAATCCCAACGCTAAAACTCCCCTCTTTTTATGACTTGCCATCGGCCGGTAAACTAGGTGAGACTTAATAATACATCACCTGAGAATCGAATATAGACCACTTGCGTAGCTGCTGGGCCTCCTACCAATAAACAATTAATACACCCCTCCATTAGCTATGCTATCCTAATATAAGGGGAAAGGCTTACCTGTAATTCTGTTTGTAGTGTTTGCGACTCACGTGCCATTTGATTTAAATCTTCTCTTAGCCTTGTTGTCTCTCGTTGTTCAGCTTCTAATAATCGACGTGTTTCTGTTAAACTTGTCTGCAGTGAATTTAACTCATTCCTGGCAGCTGACAATTCTGTATTACGTGTTGTCAGTGCTTCTTGTGTACGTGAATTCGTGCGTAGAACTTCTTCATGTGCTGAACGAAGTTCGTGTATTTCACGTACTCTTCCTGATAAGTCAACTTCAGTATGTGATAGCCTTTGAGCTGTTTCTTTTAAATTGATCTAAATAAAAAGAGGATGGAAGGTTATTTTATTTTATTTTTTTTAAAATTATTTAAAGAAACATGGAATACTGGAACATGAGACTGATAAAACGTAAATTAAAGGTTGGATCTTCACTGGTCAGCGGAGGGATGACAGCTGCAAAATAGAAATCTTCTAAATATACATTTTAGGATAACCAGTTCAAATTTCAATCACCTCAGTTATGTGCAGTACACGAATATGAAGACCGCTGAAATGATTCGATGAGATGGGAATCTGTTTTTCCTTCACGTTCCCCAGTGGAGTATAGGGGTTCAAGCTACACGTATGAAGTTTCTGTAGCAGCGTTTACTTTGACAGGATGGGGCCGCTAGCCTCATACCCAAATTTCAATCTTTACCAGTTCTATTACTGGTTTAGCGAGGTAAAGGAGTGCGTCGGTGGCCGGGGATCGAACCCCGGACCATGTGCATGGTCAGCGAGTGTCCTAACCGCTATGCCACCAGTGCGAATGTTATCGCTTTATTCACTGAGTGGCTACCATCACCTAAATGCAGGAAAATAGAGCTTAAGATGGCGTTTAATTATAATTCACCAAAAAAATACTGGAGGTGTCCAGTGACACTTTGGCTAAGCTGTCTAGAAGTACACACAGCATGGTCGTCTCCAAAACAGCAGTTGAAATGATAAGTACACTTAGATGTAACGAAACTAACTAGCTTGTCCATCGTTTGAGTCATAGCTATTCACGGGCTGGAAAATACGCACATATATATGCGTCCGTGGCACAGCGGTTAGGACGCTCGCCAACCGATCCCTGGCCGACGAACTCCTTTACCTCGCCTAGCCAGTAATAGAACTGGCAAAGAGGAAAGATTGGGCATGAGGCTAGCAACCCTATCCTGTAAAAATAAAAACACTGATACAGAAACTTCAAGCTTGTAGCTTGAAGCCCTATGTTCCAATGGGAACATTAAGTAATAAAAAAATATACATGCTTACTGGAAATCTGCAGGAAGATACGTCTATGACCTTAGAGGAGATGACATCCCTTAGTATGTATTTGACCCTGCAACACCCATCACAGCAGTCATAAGTTACATTATCAATGGGCTGTTGAATCAGTGACTGGTTTTCTCTATGATCTCAGGGGCTACACTAAGTACCCCTTAGGGAAAAATGATTATATATATACATATATATTATAATTATTCCCTTCAGTTCAGAGTGGAACACAGGGTTTCAACAACACATCTCCACTTTGTTTTGTTTTCTGCCATCCTCTTCAGCTCGGCCCACCACTGACCAAACCCTCTCATCTCTTCCTCACACGATCTCCTCCATGTCACTCTCACATTGATGACCCACTCGTCACTTTCCAATGGGATTTCATTCGAGCGATGTCCTGCATTCCGCGCGATGTCATTCGACGGCATCCTCGATGTATGCCCGATCCATCTCCATTTTCTCCTATATATTTTTTGAGAGATCGGATCTTGGTTGATTCGCTGGAGGCTAGAGGTTCTTGCTACTAATACCTTCTAGTTGGCCATTTTATCTTCAGTATGGGACCAGCGACGGCAGATGTTGATGAAAGTCTGTAACTTGTTGGAAATGCTTCTCGTGATGTGCACTGCAAGTTCCTGACCTGTATATAAGAACTGACTGACTGACTTCACATTGGTGTTGAAAAGAATCCGAATTTTGTTCTTTGTGCTGACTGAGGGACAGCAGAAGATTTCCGAACTGGTTTCAGGTTGGTGAAGGCTTGTCTTGCCTTTTCGGACCTGTCTAGATTTCACATCTTCATCCGTCCTACCTGTGGCTGAAACGATGCTGGCTGCCTAGATAAGTGAAGGAGGTAACATTTGTCAAATCGCTCCCGTTGGTGGTGACTGGTGCTGGTTGTTGTTGTTGGTTGGTTATCTTCATCACCTCCATCTTCACTGTCTTCACCTGGAGTCCTGTCTTCGCTGCCTGTCAGCCTCTTCAGGCAGTTCGTTGGTTTTGGCCCGTAAGTTTTCAAGTTTGTGTGATACCAAGCAGAAATTATCCACACGCGGAATCCACATCTTCTAGAGTCTTCTTATCGGTGGTTCAGAATATTCCTATCTTATCACTCCCTATGCACATTCCGACGCATTATCCAGTCCATCAAAATTAAGAGTATCATCGGAGATAATCGGCAGCCAGCTTGTCTTAATCCTGAAAGCACTTCTAATGCCTCGCTGAGTTTTCCGCTGTAGGCCACCTGACACGTCACTGTCATATAGGCAGCTGTTGAATGAGGTTGATAACGATTTGGGCACTGCACACTACCGCAATGTTGAAGTATTTTCCGAATCAATTCTCGGTCAACGATGTCTGTCGAAGGCCTAGTGGAGTTCTGTATCCATTGCATTCTTTATCCTGTGTAGGATGATGTGACTCAGTATTTTACTTGGCGTGGTGACATCAAAATCCTGTTAGGCGATATGAACGCCAAACTGGGACTTGGTGATACAGGAAGAGAACTTATTATGGGTCGAGAGGCTCTCGGTCGGAGAAATGAATAAGAATGGAGAATTATTTGCAGACTACTGCGCTTCCAATAACAATTTGGTGATTGAAGGCAGCATGTACAAGCACAAGGATATACACAAATCAAAGTAAAAAGGTGGGTTTTCAAATGTTGGCTTCCAGGGATGTGATTGGCTTCAAGTTAGGAAACGATTCGAAATCAAGGAGTACTAGTACTAGTCAGCTATTTCACACTAAGCCATGGGGGTTCGAACCTAGGATCTTCAGATTACTAGGTGAGCTCTTTCAACCGTGTAGCTACTGTGACGGAGCCCAAAATTTCATCTGTTTGATGGCGGCTAGTAGTGAAATATAGGATGAGTCATTCGTGCTAATTGGTACTCGTCATACAGGTAGCCACACCTACTCAGTGATGTCAAATCCCGCAGGTATTATTTAAAACGCTATAATATCATCCGTTAGGTCATTGGGTCATGTAAGTCTTCAGGCGTCGAAGCATCTGCAATAGGCCATGACAGGTGAACAGTGATCGAGCATTTCCGTCAAATATTATCGATCAGCGGGAAATACAAATGAACCTAAACAGATAATCATAGACAAAATTTGAGAAATAATTTAGATTTGAGTCAGTCGGTAAGAATAACATAATGATGAATCTCGAGTAAATGGGTGTCACTAAGAAATGTGGATCTTCCTTCTGGACGTAACCATTGCAGAGAAATCACATGATCAATATTAAAAGGTGAGAAACTACTTTCCCACTACTTTTGTTGTTGTTATAAACAGTTACCTCGATATTTTGTTTCTCCTCTTCTAATATTTCCATTCGTGCTCTCAGTTGACTATAATCATCTCTTTCTACACGTAATTCTCTTTCTAACTGTACAACACGTGTTTCAGCTTTATGCAGTTGATCTTCAACAAGACGTAGACGTGAACTCCAATCATTGGCATCTCTTTCAGCAGTTTCTGATCTTCTACGACATAATTCTAATTGTTGTTGAACATCAGCAAGAGTATTTCTTTCTGCCTGTTTTACATTAAAAATGAAACACAGAAAATATAAATATATCAAGAAAGCGAGACTTCGTAAAGTGAAACTAAACCCTTTTATTTCATAAATTTAATCGTCGTTCTGTGGCCATAAACACTCTAAACTCTGAATCTAGCATCCTGAGTTCAAGTCTTGGCTAGGCCTAGAGCCAAGCACTCTGTGTTTGAGTGGTCCAATGAAAGAATCCTTGGCAGAGCTGGATTTCTAGCCGACGCATTCAAAATCCCCACTTAGTTGGGTGACAGGCAACTAACTCCACATGGCGAAACTAACGCCACAGCTACTGATACTTCAAAGATTCCGGTGCAGACGTTTCACCATACCATTAGCTTGAGGATGGTAGGCTGTTGTTCGAAAACGCATGCAACCTATGATTTTAGTCAAGGCAAAGAATAAGCCGCTTTCGAATTGCCGCCCGCGATAAGTTGTTATGGAGGATGGGGAATCCAAAGTTTGCGATCCATCTTTCGACAAAGACACGTGCGACTGTTTCAGCAGATACATCTTTGAGGGGTACCGATTCACGCCATCGTGTGAAACGGTCGATACAGGTTAAGATATAGGTATATCCATGAGATTCTGGAATAGGTACAACCAAATCTACATCAACGTGTTGGAAGCGAGCATCAGGGATAAGAAAGGTGTCAAGAGGGCTTTTGGTGTGTCTTACTGCCTTGCACTTTTGGCAAGTTAAGCACATTTGTGTCAATTCCCTTAATTCCTTATTGATACCAGGCCAACAAAACCGACTAGTTATGAGCTTGACGATAGTTCGAATACCTGGGTGGGATAAGCCATGCAACGTATTGAAGACGTTACGGCAATAAATTTTAGGCACGATGGGGCCAGGAGTACTCGTGTAAATGTCATGTAGAATGCCTAAAGGTTTCTCGGCTAATTGCAGTGTTGTTTTCGACAACTCATGTTAAAGCTCGGTATCTTCTTTCTGAAGACGAGCCAATTTCACAAAGTCTATGCCATCTATTTGGGTGGGGGAACAAACGCGCGACAAGGCATATGCCAGTGTTGTTCACTCCCGATAGATGGTGAATATCCGATATAAACTGTGACACGTAATCCAGTTGTCGTGATTCTCTAGGTGAATACTCATCTGAGGTTGAGTTCAGAGAGTACGTCAGAGGTTTGTGGTCAGTGAAAATTATAAATTCACGACCCTCCACTGAATGTCGAAAATGACGTATAGCACAGTACATAGCCAGAAGTTCTCTACCGAATGTGCTGTACTTCGTTTCTGCTAATTGTAGGCGCCTCGAGAAAAAGGCGAGTGGTTTCCGAACTGCGCCGATTACGGTGTCTGATGCATAAACCGAGATACTTAGCAGTGCCGTTAGATCCTGATATATTAGAAGTGTGGCATCCGCAATAGCCTTTTTAACCTGAGTAAAAGCATTTTGAGAAGGCACGTCAAGTTCGATGGACTTGTTATTCCCTCGAAGAAGGTCTGTCAATGGCTGAATCACAGAAGCACAGTTGGTAATAAACCGTCGGTAATAACTTACCAAGCCGTTGAAAATGCTAAGACTTTTCACTATCCCTGGCACTGCGAAGTTCAGTATCGCCTCAACTTTACTAGTCAGTGGGTGAATACACTTGCAGTCGATGGTGTGGCCCGGAAAGTCGAGTAAGTCAACGCCTATCTGACACTTCTGAATATTAATGGTAACACCATGTCGGCATAACCTTTCGAATGTCAAGTCCAAGTGTCTAAGGTGAGTTTCCTTGTCTGGACTGACAATGAGGCAGTCGTCTAAGTATGCGTTACGTATACAAAGTCGAGACCGCGAAGTCTTCAAAGACTGCTGCCCTATTTTCCACTCAGAACTCAAGGAATGGAAAAACTATCTTCATATTTTGATTAGTATAAAGTATATTGTAATTTTTGCATTTTGACAATCAGCAGTTGGGTCCTTTGATTGGACACTATTAACTAGTGTGATGTGTCTTGTCTTTTTTTGGTGCAGACTGAATTCTATCAGTCAGGTTTGCAATGTGGCCACCATTCTAGGTAGCTCACTGTCACCATGCACATTTATATCTAATATCATCAAATCAGTGCGCACCATAATGGCGAGCTACCTAGAATGGTGGCCATATTGCTAACTTGACTGATGGAATTCAGTCTGCATCAAAGAAAGGACTAGACACATCACACTAGCTACTTGTGTCCAATCAAAGTACCCACTACAGTCCTACGGAAGGTCAATTGCCAGCCCCGAATAGCTAGCTCAGTGGTAACGTCTCTGACTGCAGGCGGCACTGGGTGACGCCTCAGAAGGGAAAGGAGTTCCTTCATGAGGCCGATTGCTTCCAGCTATCTAATATCATCAAGCAGCTGGGTTACTGTATGCAGCTCGAGGAAAGACCAGAGATCTTCACTCTAGTCTACCTGCTTCAGTGTTTCAAATGCGCATCAGTCGGTTGCACAGTTCAAGACGCTTACATGAATGCGTATGCGTAATTCATCCATTTATTCGCAATATCCTTTAAAAATCTTTTAGGATAACAGTAAGTATTATCTTCATTTATATTTTTAGCTTTATACTTTGTTATAATTGCATATATTAGTCCTGGTTTTACAATTTATTATAAACCAAACACCTTTGAATTGTTTACATTAGATGGTTGGAGGTAGTCAGCAGGAAGCCTTGACTGACCTAGGTTCCGTGTTAGTTGGCACTCATCAGAGGGGCGTATCTGCAACCTTGAAGGAACTCATTTCCCTTCTGAGATTCTAACCCGTCTCACCCAGTATGGCAGTGCTGCTCCAGCCATCTAATGTCAAGAATTCACAGTGCACTGTGATGGTGAGCCGCCTAGTGACATGGTGGCCACATGGCAAACTTAACTAATAGAATTCAGTCTGTATCAAACGAAGGATTAGACACATTACACAAGTTCTGACTAGTGTCCAATCAAAACCAAACAACATTGGCCTATACTATGGATTAGTATACCACTCCAATACCGGATATCTGTTTCGCTCATCTGAAGATATACCCATCAGTGTTGTACCTGGTTTCACTCAGCCGACAGAGAAAGAGAGGGAGAGAGAGAGCTGAATTAGTGGAAACCACTCAAATCATGGCTATCCATTTGGGAAAACTGAAAATACTTACTATCGAATTCTAAATTTTCAAATTAATTTACGATTTGCAAACTATGAATTTGATACCAAACAATGTTATCTTGTAATGACAGAAGACAAGGGCCAGTTAACAGATCGTTTATTGAGAAAATCAAGGGATATTTATGTATCCAAAAATATCCAATACAGTCCTTCAGGAGGTCAGTCGCGAGCCTGTGTAGCTCAGTATTAACGTCTCTGACTGCAAACAAAGCTGGATGACGCGGGTTCGAATCTCAGAAGGGATATGTGTTCCTTCGAGGTTGCAGATCCGCCTTGCTGACTGGTGAGTGCCAACTAGCACGACACCTAGGTCCAAGGCATCCTGTTGATGTACATTATTATTCGTTATTATTAACAGAGAAACAGCGTCTTCTGATTGGCTGTTTTCTCGCTGAACGTTATTCTGTCATCTCTTCGTGGCTGTTTCTTTGAAGGTCAAACCATATACATGCGAATCGTATCCGCCCACGCAAAGTTTACTGTGATTGGTTGTTGAGTTCCTCAAGGTTAGGATTTGTTATTGTTTTATCTCGTGACTCCAATTTGGGACATAAACATTGACGTGAGTTGGTGTCTTCAATTTTGTCTAACCGACAGCTCTCACCACAATCTAATCGCTATGAGACAACATTTCCTACCTACAAATTCACAATAATTGACTATCTAGATTAATGTAAACACCTGAGTCATTTTTGTTATTATTATTTTTATGATCGCCGTGATTATCATCCACTAATTCATAAGCCAACACTTTGATGGCCAGGTTAAAGAATAACTACCAATGGAGTGCGTCCGCACCAGTGACCTTGAACGTACAAAATTCCTTGGATAACGGGACCTACCATTATTATAGCGCTACTACAGTCTCGTTTTTATGTACTGTTTGCGTAACGGGTTGATAAAACTTTAGAGTTAAGACTAGGGTAGGTATTAGGGGTTATGATATTTTATTTTTATTATCTTGATGTGTACTTTTCTAGTCTACAGACGGTTTTTTACGTAAAACATACTGGGCTTTCTGATTGGTTGTCTCAAGGGCAGCTGTACACTTACATTGGTTGGGCCGTTATTCTTTAAATTTGCCAATGATGATATTGAGTCTTTATGACGAATAATTTCATTATGCAGTTGTAAAAGCTTGATGAAATAATACTGGAAACATGTATTTGCATAAATTATGTTCAATAATTATCATAATGAGAATATATTTAAATTATGTATACATGTATGGACAAGTTAAACTCTAACCACCAATAACTACCAATAGAGTTCGACCGCACCAGTGACCTTGAATGGACCAATCAGTTCCTTCACGTGAATTCAAGCTTCTTTTACGCTTAATTCGAGTGAAATGCCTGCTGTGAATCAGTTACCTCTGAAATCTGATGAAGACCGAGTTTTCTAGTATTGCCTAGATGTGGGTGGGGTTGATTAGCGAAAAGAAAGGATTGGTTCATGTAGAGGCACCATAAGTGTAGAAAGCTTCAGTAGGCCGATTGTACTGATGGACATGTTCATCGTTGTAGAATTTGTCTGAGATGAGTTGGCGTGAGGGAAGGTAAGCTGATGGCTATACTACTTCGTAGGAACATCTTTCGCCAGATCCCAGCTTTCATCGACCCATATTTTGTATATTTGTTATTACTGGTTTTCAAAACAGGTGGTGAGAGTTGCAGCTGGCTGCTGAAACAAGAAATAGTCTCATTTCAGCAGTCCAGTGGTAACAGAACTGCAGAGATATCGTATCTTGAAGGCAGAGGAGACTTACTTCTTTTTTGGGAGGTGACGGTGTCACTATACATAGAAAAGAAACAGTCTTATTAAAAAGGGAATACAACTGTGTCTCTGAATTAGCCGGTAACGTTTGGGTAATTGGATTTTACGATAACTCTCTATGGAATGGATTCGTCGAGAGAATAACAGACAAAAAGTCTACTACTTCAATGCTCATTATCACTCGATTAGTGAAACGGGGATCAACAACACACAGATGAGTAGAGATGATATATATTCACGAAAAGGTAAACCAAACCAGCAAATTTGTGGAACCTATTGCAAGGACCCACATTAATTCCATCGAAGGATTTTGGAGAAGGCTGAAAAACAGGTTTACAGCCATTGATGGATCGGAAAAGAATGTCATTTGTAGTCATTTAGATGAAAACATGTACAGGATGTCGTGTAACTATTATAATGCTACTTCTATTTTAAACTGGGAGTCTTTCTCATGACATATGGGAGAAAGGTAACGTCTGTATCCCTTTCATACAGTGTCTACGCATTTTCCCCCTCATAAATATATGTATTTTAACTGATTAAAAATCCCCATTAAATTTTTCAAAAGAATGGTTGCTGAACAAAGAATAATCTTTTTAATAACCTGCTCTTCATCAGGTTCTACAGTTATATATGCATCATAGTGAATGAATGAATTAGTGTTATTGACAACATTAATGATGTTTAAATAACATAGAATCAATAATATCAGTGGATTACAGTTCAATAGCATCAACGTAAAAATAAACTGAATGTCAGAACAATTAGGAAAGATAATATTACAAATTCATGAATTTATAGCCTCTACTGAAGGCTAGCCAGGCTAGTAGTAGGGGCTGAACTTGCTTCTTTTGAACACAGAGCACTGGTCGTTTTACGCAAATTGCAATAGCCTCTGCTGTTTGGAGCATAGGGTGCTTCGATGATTTTGGCAATTTATTCGGCACCCGGTAAATGATAGAGAAGGATTCTTCAACGCTGGCTGGTTTTGTGGCCAGTTTGTACCAGATGGTCCAATATCAAACTGTTAATGGTTTTCACAACACCTTTACTTAGCCATACTGGGAAATGTTCTCGAGAGAGCACGAAAAATCAAGTTACTAGAGCAACGGCCAATATAACTTGCTCCACAAGCGCAGTTGAATTGATAGATACAATTGGAAGGGGCTAGCTTGCCTAGGTACTCCATCTTCCAGTCGAGGAATCACCATCGGTCGTGTAGAGAATAAGATGCGTAGGTCGCCAGCATTAAAAGATCTTAGAACTGATTTTCTTCATTTCTCTGTAATTATTTCACTTGGTATATCGCCCTTGAATTGCAGTAGTATGTAAAAAGGCTTCTTGTTTACAGATAGTGAGTAGTCTTTTTACGCTTTCTTTGCCATGCGTTTCTTGATAAATTTGTCGGGATAGCTATTTTTGACCAAAGTATCGTAACAATGCTTAATTCATCTTCAGTTACTTCTTCTGAGCATATAGCTCTGACGCTGTGGCTGAGGGTCGTCACTCAATTTCTTTTGTACTGGAGAGGAGGCAAGCTGTGAAAATGTGTATATTGTCCTGTCCAAATCTTTTTTCTGTGCAAATTTTTTTTATGCTACCATCTGTTTTTCTTGTAAGGAAGACATCCAGGAAGGCAGTTAATCCTATTTCGGGATTCCTCTTCGCACGTGAATTTCATAACAGAATGTACCTGATTGAATTCAATTGTTATTGTACTCCCATCCGAATCATTATCACAAAGAATAAAGGTATCAACCATATATCGGCAATAAAATGAGAACTTTTTGATAAGGTTATTCAAAGCTCCATTTTCTAGCTTACTTCGAGAGAAATCAGTCAGAATGGGACCCAATGGTGAGCTCATCGCCACCCTATCCACTTGCTTGTAAACCGTGCCGTCAAATTTGAAATTTACATTCATAGTACACCTTAATAACAATTCTTTTGGGATTTCAGCACGGATGCCAATGTTTATCGACTGGTTGTCCACTTGTTCACATATATAGTTAACTATTTCTACTAGAGGTACATTTGTGAATAAAGATGTTATGTCCAGGGATATCATGGTTTTGTCCCTGATATTAATATCTTTGATTTTGTCTACGAATTCAAATACATCTTTGACGCTGCATATATATTTATTTCATACCCAAAAGTCCCCTTTTACATGTGATTGGTGCTTTCAAGGTCATTCGCTGATTGGTAGTTGGTGGTGCTTGAAGTTTAACTTTATCATATGCACAAATACATATAGAATTCCTTGAAAATATTCGACTTATATATATATATATATATATATATATATATATATATATAAACTTACTCGTAGTGCTTCAGCGTTACGTTTTACTTCTAAATCAAGCTTTTTATTTTCAGCATCTAATTCAATATTCCGTTCATGTAAACCATTGGAACGTTGAACTAAATCTTCACGTTCTCTTAATGCTTGTCTATGCGCTGAACTCATTTCTTCAATACACGATTCCAAGTGTACTTTATCTTTATTGGCTAATTCAACTGTTGCCTAAAATATTTCAAATACAAAAAACAAAAATTAGAAGAAAACTTTTCAGTGCATGTCGTGTGAAAAAGGTATTCTTAAATTTATCAAAATGCTTCCTCATTAAAAACTAGAAGCGATTTCCACCAAAATTTCAGAGAAAATAGTCTCACTGCATACATATTTATTTAACGTCACTGTTAGGCATTCTCTTATTACTATTATTTTTTTACGACTTGATCATGGATTGATATCAGTTAGAGAACAATTGAAAATCAGCACTGGATTTCTGGGTAGTCAGCTGTTTCATCCTAGTTTGCGAATCATTGGCAGTACGCACCCACCACAGAAGGTTCGAACCCAGGACCTTCCGGTTACAAGGCAAGTTCGTATATCATTCACCCACTGGGACCCGATTCAATGGCTCATGAATTCTAATTTCTACCAATTTGCGATTTAGCGCGACCCCAACCAGTACTCCCTGGTTTTCAATGGTTCTCTAACCGATATCAATCCGTGATCAATTCGTAAGAAACAAAACTAACCCTTACAAACCAAACTATATAGAATACTAATTATTATTATCCATTGCTTGTGTTCTAGGTGTGAAACAGGTCTTCAGCAGCACGTCTCGATTCCACTCAGGTCTCTTCAGTGGCTTGCAGCTGACGCCATCACTGCCAACAGGCTTTGATTTCTTCCTTCCTCTCGCCATCACACAATTTTCTCCAATATAACCCTCGAACACTTAACCTGTCGCTACCAGTTCAGTTTTCACTGGATAACCTACGCTTTGTGTGATGCTACATGAAGGCCTACGCAGTGTATATTCAATCCATGTCTATTTTAATCTGGATTTATTCCATAGAACAGGTTGTTGAATGGTTTACTGTCGGCTTTCCGTTCTTTATACTTTTGTAGCCGCCCACCTGAGGTTTAGTACAAGCTAAGGAAACAAGTGTCGGTGAAAGTCGGAAGCCTGCATTCCCTTATATGATTTTCCGAGCTAATTTTCAACAATAATGTTTGATTTCGAGTAACCGTCAATGGAATTAATGTTTATAAATTTTGTTCCTATGTTTGGGGAGGGCAAGGAGTAAGAGTCATATATATATGAACTATTAAAAAAAATAAGAATAAAACTTGTGCACTGTGGCAGAGTATAATTCCATTATGGGTAAAATTTGTTTTGATAATGTCTCACAGTGTTATACAGTAATATTTATTGATGACCACGTTTCGAACACAATTTATTACTGCTCATAATCATTTCAAGGTATTCACACAACTTTCTAACTTCGTTTATGTAATTCCACTATTTTCCATCGCTTCATTTGATTGGGTGTAGTATTTCCCATATCTCTGGTATTAGTGATGAGTCATTCCTATCGCACGTGTTGGGTGTAGACTCGATGAACCAGGATTCAGTAATCAATCTCTCTCCACCTACCTATATTGCTTCTTAGAATTTTGACTCTGTCCCACCCACCCTGTTGTATGGTTGTGTGTTAATGCATGCCGTGCAATCGCCGAGCTTCTTTCTAAAAATTACTTATCTTCGTGGGATCAATCATTCTAACCTTAGCTAAATTCTTATGTTCCGATAATCTAACTACCCCTGACCTATTAGTATGACCTATGTAGTTGACCTCACTCACATTCATTGCAAGGTATTTTGTAAATTATATTATTTTGTCCTTTGAGAACATCTGAGACCCTACCTAGGATTTTTGATAAAGCAAGAATTACGGTGGCATTCAAGCCTACCAACTCACTTAGGTAGGACAAACCCTGTAGGCCAAAGGACCCCGTCTAATGACCCAATTAGACAAAATAATATTATTTACAAAATACCTTGCAATGAAGGTGAGTTAATTCAGCTACATAGGTCAAACTAGTAGATTTGGGGTAGTCAGATTATCGGAACATAGCAATTTAGCGAAGATTATAATGATTGACCCCGAGAACCTTAGTAATTTTAAAAAGAGCTCAGCAATTGCACTGCATGCATGCATTAACACACAACCACACAATAGGGTGGGTGGGAGAGGGTTAACATTGTAAGAAGTAATATAGGTAGGTAGAGAGCGAGAGAGGTTGATTACTGAATCTTTGTTCATCGAATCTACACCCAACACGTGCGATAGAAATGACTGATCACTAATACGAGAGATATAGAAAATATTACTAACTAATCAAATCAGGAGATGAGAAGTAATGCAGTCATATAAAAGAAGTTGGAAAGTTGTGTGAATACCTTGGTATGATTAGGAACAGTGGTAAATTGTGTTCGAAACATGATCATCAATAAATATAACTGTATAACACTGTTAGACTTTATCAAAATATATTTTATCCACAATGATATTTGATAGGTGGTTCTGTATTCTAGATATGAGGCGATCTGATGAACGCCTGACTCACTTAACATTACAGAGATATGAGTATCAGTTGGGTATAATGAAACTGTATACAATAAGATACATCGTCAAGAATTGAGCTCCCAGTCATCAAAATCATTTATCTATTACCTTTTTCAGCTTTTCTTTTCAAACATTAATTCCTTAATTTATTGATTGAAATCTCATTTTGCTAATAGTACACACGTCTAAAACCAAACCGAACCGAACCCATAGAATACACAGAAGAAAATAGAAACGGATTGGAAATATCCTAAGGTGGTATTCAAGTGATACTGTATATCAGCGCGTCTAGTGGAACCTGAAAGGAAAGCGACATCTCGGATGTGCGTTTGAGGGTGGTGGCATAGTGGATATTACGTGATAAGGAGGAGATGAAACCTTGTAGACAGTCCTGGAGCTAGTTGTAAATGTTGGTTCAGATTTCGTTGCACACCACAAAGAGCTCTGAAGTTCCAGTAGCAAAGGGTATTTATTTTTATGGGATGGAGTTGCTAGCCTCATGAACCACAACCTTCCCTTTTTACCAGTCTTATTACTGGCTACGCGAGGTAAAGGAGTGCATCGGCCGGGAATCGAACGCCAAACCACCTGCGCGGTTAACAAGCATTCCATCGATGTGCCAACGACGCACACACACACACACTGGAATAGTGAATGAAATGATAAAATCTTTTATGTCGTATTGATTTGTTTCAAAAAGAAGGTAAGAAAATTTCAAAATTGTGATCTGGTTAGAGTATTGCTGCTTTTAGCCTTTGTCAAAAATACCCTTCAACTTTGAGTAATTTATGGAGATTCCAATTCCTGATATCAGTTAAAGAACCATTGAAAACCAGAAATTACTAGACAGTTGCTTCGTCTTTAATTTACAACTTTTGGGCGGGAAACACCCACTGGGGTTGGAACGCAAAACCTTCCGGTTGCAAAGCAGGTACATCGACTATTCAGCTACTGGAACGGTATCCAATGGTCCATGAGTTCTAGCTTCTGCCAATTCATGATTTTAGTACAACAACCATCCGTGGCGAGTATTTGTCCTCATGTGTGACCGGATCTACCCAACTGATACCAATCAGTGATCAAACTCCAGAACAGTTAAATCCCCATAACTCTTAACTCTTTCGTTTATTCTGTTTTACTTCACTCTACAACTTATCAGTAACATGCCCACTTACCTCAAAATTAAAAAAAATAGAAATTTAGGTAAAAAGTATAATAAAACCATAAATAAATGCATAAATAATAAAGTTTTAATTGCGAATAGTTGAGTGAACAAAGAAAATTACAAAATTTTTTCGCAGTAGTAAGTGATCTGATCATTCAAAATGTGTTTTTTTCGAGTGCATTTTAAGCGGGAATAAATGACATCAACAATATGGGGTGCTGATAAGTGCAAACAAAGCAAGCTCCTCGAGTGCAAGTATTACATATATTCAATGTGGCAATGTGTAAACAACAGTTACGTCATGCAAACACTGTTAATCAATAACAAATAGGTGCACAATTTATAATTTGAAATAAAAAATAATGGAACCAGATGAAATTTAATTGTTGAATTTGAGACTGTTCTCTTTGTTTCCATTTGAAATCATGAACTAACATGAGTTAGAGAATACCCCCGGTTTCATCCTTAGTTTCAAACCTTTCACCAATAGACGTTCATTACCCCACTGGGGAGAGAACTGAGGAACTTTAGTTTATGAAGTAATTCTTCTGGGATAGTGTCCACCGGTTCATCAACTGTAATTTCTGCCAATTCATTTTTTTATAACTAAGCTATGCACTTTACGAAGATTGACCAATCTGAAACTAGCGGTACAATGGTTCATACGGCCATTAGACCTGTACAATAGCAAAGAGCTGAAGAATGGGATACTAACTGCTTGGTGGTCTATGTACTTCACTAAATAACCATGGAAGTTTCATCATCAAGACTGATATCCTCCTCAGAACTGAATACATTGATGAAATTCCATTCTTGTTTAGTTGTTCTTCTTCCATCAATACAATTTGAAGTCTAGACTGTGACTAGCCTTCACCTTTGCTGTACTCTATCTAGAAAGTTAGCTAACAGTAAAGAATTAGTAATTATTAACACTTACCATAACTTGACCAGTTAAAAACACACATTATTATTATTATTATTGTTCCCTTGGGTTTCTAGTGGAACACAGGGCTTCAACTACACGTCTCTACTTGCTTCTGTCTTCTGCTGTATTTTTCACTTGCATCCATGTTAATCCATACTGTTTCAGTTCCTCTTCACATGATCTCCTCCATGTCACCATTCGACGTCCCACTCGCCGCTTCCCTTTCGGGTTCCACTCGAGCAATAGCCTGACACGTGATGTCACCCAGCGGCCTCCTCAGCGAGTGTACAATCCATCTCCACTTTCTCCTGCATATTTGTTGGGCGATTGGTTCTTGTTTTGTTTGTTCCCATAGTTTCTGGTTGGTAATTCTTTCCGGCTATCTGATCTTCAGTATTGAGCGAAGACAGTTGTTGTTGATAAAGGTCTGCAACAGGCTGTTAGAAATATTCTTGGTGACCCGCCAATTTTCTGATCCGTATAGAAGAACTGACTGACTTGACGTTTGTATTGAAAATCCGAATTTTGTTGTTGATGTTGAGTGACGAGTATTTCCAGATTGGTTTCAGGTTGATGAATGTGTTTCTCACCTTCCTGATTCTCGATTTGACATCCTCGTCTGTTCCTCCTGTAGTTGAGACAATGCTCCCTAGATAAGTGAAAGAAGTAACCTCTTTCAAATCCCTCCCGTTGATGGTGATTGACGCTGGATATTGCTGCTGCTGTTGTTGCTGGTTGGTTAGTTATTTTCATAACCTCCATGTTGTCTATGTTCACCTGGAGTCCTGTCTTCTCTGGCTGCTTCTTCGACCAGTTTGTCGGTTTTCGCCTGTAAGTCTTCGATTTTGTGTGACATCAAACATAAATCATCCACTCGCGAAATCCAGGTCTTTTAGGTTCTTCTTCATGTCGGTCTAGGATATCCCTGTCTTCTCGCTTCCCACTGTCTGACGCATAATCCAGTCCACCACAAATAGGAATATCATTGGTGATAATAAGCACCCTTGTCTGACTCCACAGATTGCATCTGATTAACATTCATCATAGAATATATCAATCTTTCAAAATTTTCCCTACCTTTAGCTATTGATTATTTCCCAACTTCCTAGTAATGTCGAAACAAAAAGTTCATCAAGTATTGGTTTTGGTAGGGATTTTGTTTGATTCTTTGGGGGATTTCATCATGAGTTGACATCAGTTAGAGAACCCCTAGAAAACCACTTGAGAGTACTGGATAGCCTGCTGTTTCGTCAACCCAGTTTGGGACTAACCCTTCAGCAGTACGCACCCACCACAGGGATTCAAACCTAAGATCCTCCACCCAGTCAAACAAGCTCCTTATAGAACCAATACTTGAAAATTAATCTGATTCTCACTAGCGACTGGTCCTATTCAGGCAGTTAACCTTGGGTTCTAGTGGTAAGCCGTGACCAGTTGGGTGCAGTAGATTGAACGTGAGGCAATAGCTCATCGAAGAAGACATTGAGAAGTAGTCGCGCTATACGGTGAATTGGCAGAAGTTACAATTCATGGGCTGGCCATTGGACTGGCGGGTCCCAGTGGCTTAATGGTCTACGAGCTAGCTGGCTAGTCTTGTAACCAGAATGTCCTGGGTTCGAACCTTGGTGAAGGGTGTGTACTGCTGAGGAGCCCCAAACTAGACTGACGAAACAGCTGTCTGGCAGTACTCCCAGCCTGTTGGTTTTCCAATGTTTCTCTAACCGATTACAGCTCATTATGAAATCCTCCAACCAAAAAAGCCATCAGTCTTAATGTCTAATAATTGGTTACCATGATAAGAAATGTACCATCCTCTCAGGTGATACATTTTCAGAACAAGCAACTACTTGAAGGCTATAGTCATCTGACTGTCCGTGATATTAGCCAGCTGAAATCTATGAACCAGAGAACATTTAAACTTTCAAGAGTTAGTTGGTAGGGATTTAATTGGTTTCAAGTTTGATCGCGGATTGATAACAGTTACAGAACCACTGAAAACCTAGGAATGTTTTGGCCACGTGTTTCTTCTTGTTTTGGGACTCTTAGGCAGTACTCACCCATGAAGCCATCAGGGATTGAATCCAGGACCTTCACGTTGTAACTCCATCTTGTGGACCATTCAGCCACGTGAGTCGGAATTCAACTACCCATGAATTCTAACTTCTTCTGTCAATTCATGACTTAAGTACGACTACTAGCCAGTATCATCAGTGAGTACATGTCGTCACATCTGACCTCGTGGACCTCACAAGTCACATCTTCTCACCAGAACTTCTGGCAACTTTGTCCTGGAGTCAGTAATTATTGAGCATCAGAAATTATCAATCAGTAATTAAACTTGAAACGTTTAAATTGCTCGTGGGCAGTTACCATGGCAATCTAGTCTACACATTCTCTGATTGGTTGGTTGGTCATTTCGTTGAAATCAGAACCAATCAGCTCATTATTAGCCTTTATTATTCGCTATCCTACCTACTTAAACTCAACTATACGCATATTTTCATGATAATTTTTCAAACAAATCAGTTGAATTACAAAAACAAACAAAACAAGGATGAATCACACACTCGAAGTGATTCGTTGTCACTTGTCAGCTTTTCATTTGCCTCTGTCATCCACTTATTTTCATCTTTTTGTTTGGATAATTGTTGTTCTAACTGATTAAGCTGTGATCTTAATTCTTCTGCTTGTTGTTCTAACCAATTCGCTCGTCTGTCGGTTGAATTTTTACTATGAATCAGTGTATCCATACGTTGTTGCAGCTTTTCGTTTGCTTCACGTTCAAGCTGAGCAAAAAAGAAGACAAACACACATTTGAATTGAAGTTATAAGTACCGATAGTCTTACTGGGTGAAAATAATTAAAGCAGAATGTTTGGGAGAGAAAAAAACAGAAGGATAAACTATGTTCTACTTTTTAAATAATAAGTAGTATGGTTTGTTAGGGAGAATTTCAAAATAGCATGCACATTATGCCCCCAGCCAGCTTCTTTTTTTTGATTCCTTTACGTTCCCAGTGGAACATAGGGTGACTTCAAGCTAGAGGTTTGAAGTTTCGGTAGCAGTGGTGTTTATTTTTATGGGATGAGGTTGCTAGCCTTATGTTCAACCTTCCCTCTTTGCCAGTCTTATTACTGGCTTAGCGAGATGAAGGAGGGCGTCAGCTTGGGATTGAAGCCCAGACCACGTGCGTGGTTGGCGAGCATTCTACGGCTGTGACACCAACGCCAGACAGCTTCTAGCTATAGTCCAACATTCATGTCAGACTAACACTGATACTATGGAGCTGGGTACATTGGATATACCATGTGTCCACTTGTAAAACGCCCTAAGGAACACTATCCAACCTGGCTAACAAAGAGAACGTAGGAGTATTTATAACTCGACAATATAGAATATTCGGTGAACTCAAGACACTCGATTTCATTTTTTAAAAATCATTCAAAGACACAGGATCTGATCAGAAATCTCAGTGAGTGAGTGAGACCAAGACATCTGAGCACAGATGAAGCAATGACCGTGCAAAAATTCAAGCCAACACTAAATATCTAAATAAAAAGCACATCCAACCATGCCCATCATAAACAATCTTCTGAATTATTATTATTATCCGATACACTCCATGTCACCCTCTCACTGACGACCAACTCACCGCTTCTCATTCCGGTTCCATTCAAGCGATGGCCTGGCGTATGATGTCATTCACTTGATGCTTTTTTTTTCTCAAAGTATGACCTCAAATCAATCTACCTCCATTTCTTCCTGCATATTTGTTGCACAGTTGGTGTCTGCTGGGTTGGTCTTTGGTTCATTGCCAGAGATCCCTCCCCGTTGCTGATCTTCTCTAGCCGGTCATCTGATCTTGAGGAGCACTGAGTGAAGATAGCTGTTGATGAAGGTCTGCAGTTTGTTCGAAGTGCCATTCGTGACGCGGAGCCAAGTCTCTGATCCGTATAGTAAGTAGCACTGACTTCACATTGGAGTTGAAAATCCGGATCTTATTTTTCATGCTGAATGCCGTTTACCTCCACACACACTTGAGAGTAATGAAGGCTTACCTTGCTTTACTGATCCTAACTTTGATATCCTCATCAGTTCCGTCCGCCTGTTGTTGAAACGATGCTTCCCAGGTAGGTAGGTAGGTAGGTAAAGGATGTTGCTTCTTTCAGATTTCCCCCACTTATGCTGATTGTTGTTGTTGCCGCTGCTGGCCAGGAATCTTCATGATCACCTCTGTCTTCTCTCTGTTCACCTGAAGTCCTATCTTCTCTGGATGCTTCTTCTGCCAACTTGTTGCTTTTCGCTTGCATATCTTCCAGTTTGTGGGAAATCAGACAAAAACATCAGCGAAGTCCAGAGCCTGAAAATTTTTTCCGCTAAAACTGTCCTTTTGTTCTTTCCTATGATCTAATTTGTATATTCCACAGCTATAAGAAAGGTTGCATTACTCTGGATTGAAATACATGTGAATATTCTTGAAAATGAAGGATCAGGTGGTCATCTAATATTACATCGCCACTGATACTCGTATTTAACAAAATAGGACAGACCTATGGCGGCCATCATTGTTCTGTGTTATTCAAATATACAGAATTATGGATGGACTGGTATTTGGAGGTAGTTAGCAAACATATCACCACTGAATTGGCAAAGTACATTTCGTATTGAACTGCTAGAGCACAGTCACTAATGAGGAACTAATTAACAGGAATGTACACTCATAATACCTCCGGTTGGCAAATTCAGGCACTTCAGGTTACGAGTCGAACTCGTTGACTGTCCAGCAACTGGAATAGAATCCACTGGCATGTCACTTCTAACTTCTGTCAATTCTCAACTTTTAGTGCAACCACCAGTCAGTGTTACTGCCAAAATTTAGTCTTCGTACCTGACCCCACAGGTCACGACTTCTCACTACAACTCCCGGTAACTTTGTCCTGGTGCTCACTAAGAATTGACTCTACGACAAGTGGGATTTGCTAGATCGGATGTGAGGACAAACACTCACCGATGACACGTTAGAGGTCACTAAATGACAGATACCGGAATCCGCGGGCCATTGAATTCTCTCCCAGTGGCTCACTGGTATACGACCTTGCCTTGTAACCTGAAGGTTCTGTGTTCAATCCGTGATGGTGTCATGGAGGCGTACTACTGTCACGTAGTCCCAGTTTTCAATGGTGTTGTAGCTGACATCAATCCGTGAACAAAACTTAAACCACTCTAATGCCTACAAATTAAAACTTGTAGATGAACAGTAGACTTTTTTCTCCCTCAAATTTGTATGTCTTCCAAATAATTCTGATTTGATTGAATTTTTATTACAATTTCCAAATGAACATGTGCAAATTACAAAAGACGTTTTGGATTCTAGCCTACGAAAAGCAGCTAGTGCTAATAAGAAACACCCACAAGGATTGATTTATATATCTCTAAGCTGCTCAAATATTAGCGTAGAAGTACACAGAATTAAGTGAGACAGTGAAGGAGTATGACTATATCTAAGTAGCCTAATGACACGTTTGATGATACACTTAGCCTTTCAAGGCCTAATAAACTATGCTTGAATCTCTACTTCTAGCAATACTGTATATTTCTGTTAGTGCTAGGTAGGGAGAGGAAATCAATCGACGAGGCTGTGAAGCTACATTGACTGAGATGGTTAGGACCTGTGTTACAGGTGCATGCCTAGTCATCACCTCCCTTGACCGACGGTCAATGTTAGCTGACATAAGGTCAGGTTGGAAAAGAGCCAGTGATGGTCAAACCAGAAGGTGGCTTCACCAGTCAATGAAATCCACAACAGTTAGTTTAAGCCAGTCACGTAGGAAGGTGTAGACTTTTTGACTGGTTGGAGTCCTCGGAACGGTAAACACTGATGGCTGGAGACAATTGGTGAAATGGCTCAAAATCGTTCTCAATGACTGGCGCAGATGCATCCACTCCTTGTAACTTATAATTTCCAATGAAACTATATTATTCTTCGTTATTACTATTCCTTTTGTCTCATATCCTTGTTTATTGTCTCCATTTTGCATTTATTCCCCTTTCTTCTCTAGCCTTGTGTGCTACATGGAGGGAGTGTGGCAACTTGAACTGCTGCGTATCGGTGCAAAGTTCTATGTTGAAAACAGACAGACAGACATTTCTGCTAGTGAAAGTTTAAAGTACTGAACTAGAAGAGGAATACAAGACGGACAGATGATTTACATTCGTTTCTCGTATGAAGAGTGCAGTCACACCACATATATTATCCTTACTCATGTATTTATTCTTATTCCCTTGCGTTCTGAGTGGAACATAGGGATGGCTTCAACAACACATCTCCACTTTGTTCTGTTTTCTGCTATTCTCTTCAGCTGGGTCCACGATCGACCAAACTCTGTCATCTCCTCCAGATATCATCTCCTCCACGTCAAGCTAGTACGGCCCGCTCGTCGCTTCCCATTTGGATTCCACTCGAGTAATGGCCTTGTGTACCATGTCATTCGGCGGCCTCCTCGATGTTTGTCCGATCCATCTCCATTTTCTCCTACATATTTGTTGAGCGATCGGTTCTCGGCTGTTGGTTTCTTCCTAGCCAGAGTTTCTTGTTGCTAATTTTTTTCTGTCCGGCCATTTGATCTTCAGTATGGAGCCAGCCAGCGAAGGGGGCAGCTGTTGATGAAAGTGTGCAATCTTTTGGAAATCCTTTTCGTGATACTCAGTGTAAGTTTCCGACCAGTAGAGAAGAACTGACTTTACATTGGTTTACATTGTTATTTGCTCATAGGCTTTGTTTTTCAAAAAACCACAAAAGTTAGAATTCATGGGATGGCTGTTAGCTACCGTCTCAATGGTTAAACGGTCAACCCGCTTGCTGCATAAACTGTTGGTCTTATGTTTGATCACTAACGGGTGTTTCTTGCTAAAGTATCTTGGAGGGGGAGGAAATAGCTACCAAGTACTTCCTAGTTTGAAATCTAACTTCATATCAGAGAAATCCTTGAGAATCAACGCTTGAAGACGTTCGACACTTTTATACCACGAAATAAACCTCTTATTGATTTTCAATAGAGTAACGGAGAGTTTCAAAAGACTTTCTCAGTTCCACACGTTTTACCGTTGATTCAGTTGGCGACTTAGTTCGCCTTGAAAACATTCAATTTCCTTTTTTCACATCCACTGTGTAGATAAAGAAATTAGTGGATCCATTGGACAGTAAGGTGTAACCATTTTCATCATCAGTCAACTCCTTGATGTTGATGTTGACCGAACGCTATCGGTAAACATTTACACTGCGATCACCAAACTGAGTGGTAATATCTAAAATTGAAGCACTATATGACGCGGATTCAAATTCTAGAGGTGAGATCAATTTTTTTTAAAGTAGTTTCAGATACGTCTTTCTGACGAATGCCAACATGCACGAAATCTAAGTTGATGGCTTCCTCTAGATTGCCTTCAAACAACTATAACAGGAAACTCTATCTGACCGCCACCCAAATTATCTTAAACTCCATAGATTCTCAGTATAAATTAGTTTTATACCATACCAAGACGTAAATTTGACGAAATTGTAAACTAGTGAGAAGTTGTGACCAGTTAGGTCCAACCAGTCAATTGTGTGGATGGATTTCGCACCGATAACATCGGTCGGTGGTCGCACCAAATCACTAATTGGTCGAAGTTAGAATTCATGGGTGGCTGAATGGTATACGAGTTTGACCTGTAAAATCAAGGCCCTGGGTTCGAACCCCAGTATTACGATGATCCTGAAACTAGCATGAAAAAGCTGTTGAGTGCTGCAGTGCTGTTTTTCTGAGGTTCTATAACTGATATCAGTTCGTGGCCAAACTCGAAAAACGAGCCTAATCCTTACAAATTAAACCCTTGAAATTGTAAACTAACAATATAAGAGGATTTCAAAATAGAGAAAATATTCGTTCAGATATCTCACCCTATCTTGTTCTTTCTCTTCTTTTTTTCTATTGGCTATTAGATAAAACATTTTCTTCAGTTACGTAATCTACTTTTTGTTATGCTCTTTCTAGCTAAACCTTGTTTCTATACACACACATATATACGCAACTCTGTTTTGTGTTCCCAAACCTAATTATCTAATTATTCTAATAAATAGTCAGTGTTTGTAACTATTAATTAGTTAAATCATTCCGGACTAATGTTACTTTTACTTCCTACCAATTACTTCCTCCTTGTGATCGTGGAAAAGTATGTTCAAATCTTTAATGTAATGTAATTCATATTTTTCATCGTTCAGGTTGTAACCAGTTGAGAAGAATCCTCGAAATAATAAAAGATGAGCTCATATTATCCTGGTACAATTGTTGTTCTTGCTTTGTTCAAGTTTATTAATGGGAAGAATTGCATGAAGTTTTTGAAGAAACACGAAATAATTGAGCAAAGAATATCCTTTTCGATAAATTCTTCTTCTGGCTCTACAGCCATTTATACATATGTTTATTTACACAGAATATTCTAGAATAGTAGTCAGTAACAATATTACCAATTTAACTGCTCCTGTGGAGCCAGTTACATAGGCTGTACAATTAGGCGTGTTTCTCGTCAAATTTCCGAACACCACCCTGCATAGTGTCCAGACAGTATTGAGATATGAGATTAGGGCAACATTTGAAATACAAACGAAACCTGATAAAGTGCTTGGTACACAAAGCAAGAGCAATCTGCTCGTATAAATGTCTTGATGAGGAACTTAATAATATTAAATGGTTGCTAAGTGAAAATGGTTATCCAGAAAGATTCAACAATATGAATATGAATCTAAAATCAAAGTAGCCCAAGGTAGCAACAGTTCCAAAACAGGCCTAATTCTTAGAAATGCAGTTCCTTGGAGACAACATCAGTGAAGATACTAACACAGCGCCTTAGAAATGAGGAGGTAAAAAGAGCATTCTCTGCTGCCGAATTACACTGTGCCTTCAAAACCAATCCTCTTTTGCGTTCGGGAGTAAAAGATAAACTGCCTAATTTCGCCTCTTCCATGTATATCTACCAATTTAACTGCTCCTATGCAGTGAGCCAGTTACATAGGCCGTAAAATTATGCATGTTTCTTGTCAATTTCCGAACATCACCCTGCATAGTGGTTGGTTCAGTAAAGGACAGCGCTATTCTATCTCATCTTGTGGATACAGAACACAAGATTGATGTCAACCAGTTCGTTTACTAAATATTGCTGCGACTGGCCGTTGCGACCCACAATAAGAAGCCTAATTTATGCGTCTAAAAGAAGTTGGTTCAGACATTGCCTTAACCTTGGCCATCTAGGTATGATTGATCCTCAATTTTTGTAGAATTTTCCTAATTTTAGTTGATATTCTATTTGCTACTATATCTTTATTATTATTATAATTTAAGCATCTTTAATAAACTGTAATTCCATTGATCTTACTTTACAAATCGATATTATTTGAGAAACACTGATATTGTTATTGACTACTATTCTAGAATATTCCATGTATATAAGCATAAATATAATTTTATAGCCAGAAAAGGAAATTATTTGTCGAAGAGGATACTCTTTGCTCAATTATTTCGTGTAATACAAGAGGAAACATGAAACTACTTATATCACTACTACTCACCTGATATTTCGTAGTTTGTTCAGAAAATTCTTTTTCCAGCTGTCTTATTTGCTTTTCAAGATTCTCTTTTAATTCATTTAAGTCATTCACTTGTCTTGACAGTCTCTCACGTTCAGATGAATTGATCTGTGAGCGTTTTTCAACTTGACGTTGATGTTTGATGAGATCATTACGTTCACATGTCAGACTATCCAGTTCACACTGAAAATAATAAACACACGAAAAAAACAATTGTGAAGATTGTTGGAAAACAAAGATTTTGTTGAATAAAACTAGCAAAAACGGAGGGGAAATCCGAGATCCTCCCCACCTCGGATTCTCAATAAAGCAGGAATCAGGGTGGTATTCAAACCTAGAAACTCACCCAGGCAGAGACAAGCTCTGTAAGCCAAAATACAAAATACCTTGCAATGACTGTGAGTTAATTCAACTGCATACGTCAAGCTAGTAGATCAGGAGCGGTAAGATCATCAGAACACGAGAATTTAGCTAAAGTTAGAATGGTTGACCTCGAGAAGATAAGTAATTTAGAAAAAAGGTCACCAGCAATTGCACTGCATGCATTAACACATAAGCACACAATATGACGGTGGGAGAGGGTTAAGATTCTAAGAAGTAATCTATGTAGTTGGAGAGAGATGTTGATTACTCAATCGCTGTTCATCGAGTGTATACCCAACACACGCAACAGAAATGACTCAATGCAAATACCAGAGATATGGAAGATATTATTACCACCAGTCAGTCAAATCAGAGGAGGAAAATAAATAATCTTAAATTGTATTCTATTTCAATTCAATTCACGTGCATCACAACATTCTAACAAGTTACTTACTTATTTTGACTATAAAAACACTCGTCTTATTTCCCATCTGATTGTAATTGATTGATAACACTCATATTATTATTTCTGAATGTACATTATCCCATATTGATTTTATTCAATCAAATGTCTAATCATCAATTCCACTCATGTATATAAATGAAGCGAGAAAGTTGTGTGAGTGAGTGACTTGATATGATTATGAGCAGTAATAATTTTTGATTGCACACTAGTCAGTAACTAGTGTAATGTGTCTAGTCCTATCTTCGGTGCAGACTGAATTCTATCAGTCATGTTTGCAATGTGGCCACCATGCTAGGTGGATCGCCATTGCGGTGCACTGTGAATTGTTGGTATTAGATGGTTGGAGGCAATCGGCTTCAGGAAGCCTTGGACCTAGGTTTCGTGCTAGTTGGCACTCATCAGCAAGGCGTATCTGCAACCTTGAAGGAACTGATGTCCCTTCTGAGATTCGAACCCGCGTCACCCAGTGCTGCAGTTAGAGACGTTACCACTGAGCTATTCAGGCTCGCGACTGACCTCCTGTAGGACTGTATTGGATATTTTTGATTGCACACTAGTCAGTAACTAGTGTAATGTGTCTAGTCCTATCTTCGGTGCAGACTGAATTCTATCAGTCAGTTAGCAGTAATAATTTGTGCTCGAAACGTGGTCATCAGTTAATATTACTGTATAACCGCACTGTGTGATTTATCAAAATAAAAAATCTTATCTATAATGGAGCATTTTGAAAACGCCCAACTTCTTAATGTTTAATGGAAATTAGATAACGCTGCATAGTGAAATTATGTTCACCTTATCGTCGAATCAACATTTGCACAAATCTTTCGTGTTGTGCTACTTCCGGCCTTCTTTGTGTTCCTTTTACGTCTCTCATGTATCTCTGCAAATCTGTATCTAACATCTCTCTCTGACATCAAATCTATCTCCCTAATATTTGATATTTTTACATGCCGATGAACATCTCTTCATATACTACTGATAAATCTTACCAGTAGCACTCACACCACAGTATGACCTTACCTAACTAATGCTCTGTAGGCATTCACGCCATCTTACATGTGGAAGACTGTCCAGTCGTCCTTTAACACAATTTTCATCTGAAATCAAAAGCATTGAATAACTATTGGAAACTAAGGAGCGATGAACGGTTGTTTCATCCCAGTTTAGGACTTTTCAGCAGTAAGCATTTGCTGTTCCTCATGTTACTTGATGTGACATCGTTCCTTCACATCGTATATATACACAAGCGAAGACTTCAGTGGCCTATAGAACCAGTGTGACTGTATACAGAAAATTCTTAAGAAAAAACGGCAACAGTATTCAGTATTTTAACGTTTCAATGTCTTACTTCTCACAACAAGGCCTCATAGATGATCCAGTATGAGGACTAAAAGATTCATTAATAAACCGTAGTATGCGGGTCAATCATTTAAAACAAACTACGCGTCATCCAAATTCCAAACAACAGGGTCAAGTCACTTCTTCTGTAAAATTCATCCAATTGGCGCACATGCCAACAGAAAACTGGGTTAAATCCATTCTGTCTAACTCACACTGCCCTCTTAATTCACAACTCGCTCGCACTAGCAAGTACAAAAACTCAACCATACCCTACTTAGCTCGTGTTCTGTACGATAAAGAAAGTATTAGGCGTGATACCTATAACTTATTAAATAGTCAGTAGAACAATCGGATCTCTTTTCTCTTTTCTTGTTTCTTTATTTTTGTTTTGCGTTGATGTGTTTTTTGTTGTTATGTTCTGTTTTGCTTCTCTCTTCCTTACAAACTCTACTTAAAACATTCTTCTTCGTTCTTTCACACTCTGTATACCTCGACCTTTTTGTTACCGCTTACGCCAGTAAATATGCTAGTATCTACTTTTCTAACACCTTCAAACATTCTGTTCACTTTTGGCTTTGCTGCTGTCGATATGCTAATATGTCATTGTCAAAATTAACTGAGACTACCCATAATCTATGTAGAATTTTATTTTTATTGTTAATGTACAAACTGGATGCGCAATACTGTAGTGAAATGCTGAGAATTCCATTCTGTATCACAAGCGCTGTTATTATTATTAAACATTTCCCGCAGGCTAATACAGGCTTTCATCAACCCACCAACCCAGTTACCCCCTCCCCCCTTAATGGGCATCGTATTTTGGGCCAGAAAAAAGATGAGCAACAAGTAACGTCTCTGACTGCAGGGCAGCACTGGGTGACGTGGGTTCGAATCTCAGAATGGACATGAATTTCTTCAAGGTTGCAGATACACCTTGCTGACGAGTGCCAACTAGCACGAAACCTAGGTCAGGCAAGGCTTCGTGAAGCTGATTGCCTCCAACCATCTAATATCATCAAATCAATGTGCACCGTGATGGCGAGCTACCTAGAATGGTGGCCACATTGCAAATCTAACTGATAGAATTCAGTCTGCACCAAAGAGAGGACTAGACACATCACACTAGTTACTAGTGTCAAATCAGCAAGTAATTCTGCTAGACAACACTCCAGTTAACAATCTGTTTTCCCAACATTTATGCCGAATGAAATGGAAACGGATTGGAAGTACATTTTAGAGGGAAATCATACACTAAGCAGGTCTTTGACTAGGAACCTGAATGTGAAAAGACAGGTTGAATGTCTCATGAGGACATTAAGAAGATCCTGTTGCCAAGAGGAAATGAAAGCCTGTGGTAGTCAGCCAGCCAGCCAGCTGTAGGAAATGATAAGAGGCCTAATCGAGTGGACTAAAAATCTATGGGAAGCAATGAGTGAATTACATCAACACAAATGTATAATTAGTTACCTGTAGTTTAACTTTCTCATCTTCAATACTTTGTAGTTGACCACGTAGTCGTTCACACTCTTCTCTTTCTTTACGTAGTTTAGCATCAGTGTCTGCATATCGTTCATGCATTCGTCTACAGTCGATTTCAATAACACGTGTTCTTTCATTCATTTGACTTATTTGTAATTCACGTTCTTCTAAACGATTATTTTGTACTTCAGCTTCTTGTTTAAGTTGTGCAGACTCTTCATTCACTTTCTATAAATATTCAGGACAAAAGAAAAAGTGAGCGAAAGAGAAAAAAGAAACAGGTTAAAAAAGTTCATTTGAATAACTTGACCTGAAAGCATTAAAATAATAACCGGTAATAGAGAATAGCAATGCACCGACGAAAACTACTCCAAAAGGCTCATCGCAATGTCAACGACAATGAAAACACCAACATTATTATTATTACTATTATTTCCTTTAATTCCTAGAGGAACATAGGGCTTCGGCCGTGCGTCTCTATTGCGTTCAGTTCTCTGCTAGAGTCTTCACCTGGATCCAAGTCTGCCAACACGTTTTCATCTCCTCTTCACATGACCTCCTCCAAGTCACCCTTGCACTGACGACCAACTCGCCGCTTCCCTTTCGGGTTCCACTCGAGCAATGGCTTGTCTAGGGATGTCACTTGATGGTTTCCTCAGAGTATGGCCAATCCACCTATCTCCATTTCTTCCTGCATATTTGTTGCACAACAGGTTCCTGATGTGTTGGTTTGCTCCCACAAGTCCCTATTGCTGACCTTTTCTGGCCGGCCATCTGATCTTGAGTATTGAGCGAAGACAACTGTTAATGAAGGTCTGTATTTTGTTTGAGATGCTCTTTATGACGTGCAGTGCAAGTCTCTGATCCGTATAGTAGCACTGACTTCACATTGGAGTTGAAAATCCGGATTTTATTTTTCATGCTGAGTGCTATTGATCTCCACACAGACTTGAGAATAGTGAAAGCTTGTCTTGCTTTCCCCATTCTTGCTTTGATATCCTCGTCAGTTCCGCCCGCCTGTAGTTGAAACGAAGCTTCCCAGGTAGGTAAAGGAGGTTGTTTCTTTCAGGTTCCTCCCATTTATGCTGATCGTTGTCTGTTGTTGTTGTTCTTGTCCAGGAATCTTCATCACCTCCGTTTTCTCTATGTTCACCTGGAGTCCTATCTTTGATGCTTCTTCTGCCAACTTGTTGCTTTTCGCTTGCATATCTTCCAGTTTGTGAGAAATCAGACATATATCATCGACGAAATCCAGATCCAGATCCTCCAAATTTTATGTATGAGTCCATTTTTTGCCTGTTTCCTCATTGCCCGCTGTTTGTCGCATTATCCAGTCTACTGCAGCATTGTCGTACAGCTGTTGGATGAGATGTACAATTTTCAGTGGCACCCCGTAGTAGCGAAGTAGTTGCCAAATCACCTCTCGATCGACGCTGTCTTCCAAAGGCCTTTCCAAAGTCGATGAAGTTGAGATAGAGAGGTGACTGCCATTCCAAGCTTTGTTCCATGATGATCCGTAATGTCGCGAGCTGATCAATACATAACTTGTTTCTCCTGAATCCAGCCTGTTCCGGTCGAAGTTTTTCATCCAGGGCATGTTCGATTCTCTCCAGGGTGATGTGGCTTAGTATTTTGCTTGGGATGGACAGGAACATAATTCCGTGCCACTTCTTGTATTGACTTAAGTCTCTTTTCTTCGGTAGTTTGAATAATTATCCTTTCTTCGAATCCTCGGGTACTTTGCCTTCTTTCCACACCTTCTCCAGTAGTGGCGTCATCAAGTTCGCTATTGTCTCTGGGTCCATTTTCAATGCTTCTGCTGGAACAACAACATCATTGGCAAACTTTAATAAGAAAGAAAACCGCCTGTTTACACGAAACCTTTCATTGCCTCAAAACAGCAGTCAGATTACTTCATAACAAGGCTAAATAAGTAAGCATGTAACGATCTTGACAAACACCGCGGTCTACTTAAATCACTAGGCTACCTAAATCTTTCTATCTATCGTAATGTATCCTTTTTACTCAGTTTCAAATTGTTCTAATCTTTTAATTGCCATAATGAGTTGCAATCTATATTGGCGAATAATTTCACATAAATTCCTACCTATCGCTAAGAATTTTTCGAAGAAAATAGAGGCTGAATTTTGTGGATTAGCGTTGAAGCATCCTTCGGATGGGGCAATATTGCATCAGATGATGTATTATCGATCATTATATTATTTGCAAATTCTACACAAGGGATAAACACCGTGCGATGGAACCCGCTGAAAATTATGTATTATGTATAAACGCATTTTTTCCATAATAAAGCTATTATTATTATTAAATTGAATTATAAGTTGAAAAAGTTAGCAATGAAAAGGAGTTGAGCATTGATAAAGAGTAAGAACCTCAAAATCTCTATAGATGAACTCTTAATATCATTATTATTATTGTTCCTTTGGGTTCCGAATGGGAAAAAGGGATTCAATAACACATCTCCACTTTCTTCTATTTTCTGCCATTCTCTTCAGCTGGGTCGACGACTGCCCAAACTCTCTCATCGCTTCCTGAAACGATCTTCTCCCATTGACGACCCACTAGTTGCTTCCCACTGCGATTCCACTCGAGTAGTTGCCTGGCGCGTGATGTCATTCAATGGCCTCCTCGATGTATGCCCGATCCATCTCCATTTTTTGTTACATATTTGTTGAGCGATTGGTTCTCGCCTTCTGGTTTGTTCCCAGCCAGAGTTTCTTATTGCTAATTTTTTCTGTCCGGCCATTTGATCTTCAGTATGGACCCAGCCAGCGAGGGGGGGGTAGCTGTTGATGAAAGTCTGCTGGCCACGTTTCTGACCAATATAGAAGAACCGACTGACTGACTTCATATTTGTGTTGAAATTCTGAAAAGTGTTCTCTATGCTTAGTGTAGAAGATTTCCAAATTGCTTTCAGATTGATGAAGGCGTATATTGCCAGCTTTAATATCTTCATCCGTTCCGAGTGTCTGTGGTCGAAACGACACTGGCTGCCTAAATAAGTGAAGGACGTAACCTCTATTAAATCTCTCCCGTTGATGGTGATTGATGCTGGCTGCTGTTGTTGTTGTTTTTGTTGCCATTGGTTGGTTATTTTCATCACCTCCATCTTCCCTATGTTCACCTGCAGTTTTTCATATTAGTCACACTCCATATCAACTTCATACCACATTTAACTCCACTTTTCCCTTCTGCATTCCACATAGAAGCCTTGTTGCTGATGTCCCCTATTTCCATTTCATCTTGCAAATTTCTTCAGCAATGGTTGGTTGGTTGACTGGTTCGCTGTCTTTTACAGTCCCTCGTCCTTTAATCTGACTAGCCTGGCATATGATCTTCAGTAGCGACAGAAGGGCACATGAGTCGTTAAAAGTTTGTAATAGCCTGATGGAAATGCTTTTGATAGTTTTCGCTTGGGAATTCTCAAGTATGTGTAACATTAAATATAGATCATCTACGATGTCCAGATCTTCTACAGTCATTATATTTGTCAAACGTATGTCTGTTTTCTCTTTCTCTCATGTTTGCCGCATCATCCAGTCCATCAATATGTATATGTATGCCTTTGTTAGATTTCATATCCATCCACGGGAACTAATAACACTTATGAAGGCGTACATTGCACAGATTATTAGTGTTTCACTGATGTATTCAAACGACAATTTGTTGGCGCTTTATACTCATATCATTATTGTATTTATTGTTCCCTTGGGTTCCTAGTGGAACATAGGGCTTCAGCTACACTTCTCCACTTGCTTCTGTCTTCTGCGGTACTTTTCACCTGCATCTATGTCAGTACATTCTGTTTCAGCTCCTCTTCACATGATCTCCTCCATGTCACCCTTGGACGTCTCACTCGCCACCTCCCTTTCGGGTTCCACTCGAGCAATGGCCTGACGCGCTATGTCACCCAGTGGCCTCCTCAGCGAGTGTCCAATCCATCTCCACTTCTTTCTCCTGCATATTTGTTGAGCGATTGGTTCTTGTTTTGTTTGTTCCCATAGTTTCTTGTTGGTGATTCTTTCCAGCCATCTGATGTTCAGTACACGGCGAAGACAGTTGTTGATAAAGGTCTGCAACCTGTTAGAAATATTCTTGGTGACTAGCCAAGTTTCTGATCCATCCGTATAGAAGAACTGACTGACTTGACATTTGTATTGAAGATCAGAATTTTGTTGTTGATGCTGAGTGACGAAGATTTCCAGATTGGTTTCAGGTTGATGAATGTGTTTCTCACCTCCCCGATTCTCGATTTGACATCCTCGTCCGTTCCTCCTGTAGTTGAGACAATGCACCCTGGATAAGTGAATGAAGTAACCACTTTCAAATCCCTCCCGTTGATGGTGATTGGCGCTGGATGTTGCTGCTGTTGTTGGTTGGTTATTTTCATAATCTCCGTCTTGTCTATGTTCACCTGAAGTCCTGTGTTTGCTACTTCTTCGACCAGTTTGTCGGTTTTCGCTTGTAAGTCTTCGATTTTGTGTGACATCAAACATAAATCATCTGCGAAATCCAGGTCTTCTATGTTCTTCATGTCGGTCCGGACAGGATATCCCAGTCTGCTCGTTTCCCACTGTCTGACGCATAATCCAGTCCACCACAATTAGGAATATCATTGGTGATAATAATAAGCACCCTTGTCTGACTGCTGTGTTTACTCCAAACACTTCACTGAGTTTTCCGTTGTGGATCACTTGACATGTGCTGTTGTCATACAACTGTTGAATAAGGTTGATGAATATTTCGGGTTCGCCGTAGTACTCGAGTAGTTTCCAAATTACTTCGCGGTCAACGCCGTCGAAGGCCTTCTCAAAGTCTACAAAGTTAAGGTAGAGGTTTGATTGCCATTCCATGCTTTGTTCGATGATAATGCGTAGAGCCGCAATTTGGTCAGAACATGATTTGCCTTTCCTGAATCCAGCTTGTTCTGGTCGGAGTTCTGTATCCAGCGCGTCCTTGATTCTCTCCAGGATGATGCGACTCAGGATTTTACTTGGCGTCGACAGGAGCATGATTCCTCGCCAGTTCTTGCAGAGTCCTAAGTCGCCCTTCTTTGATAGTTTCACTAGGTAACCTTTCTTCCAGTCAGTGGGCACCTTTCTTTCCTTCCAGACCTTTTGCAATAATGGAGTCAGCATATCTGCTGTCATCTCTGGGTCCGCTTTCAGTGCTTCAGGGGGTATTCCATCTGGTCCAGCTCATATTAGATAAACAGAATTATGGAAAAACCATTAGTTATGAATAATAGTACACAAATATTTCCAAATTATTTATGAACACCGAAGCAAAAAGTGAAATCTCTAGATTCAATTTCACCGATATATATATTTAACTTTAGTCAGATTCTGATTCACCGTATGCCCCAGGGCACAGATTACACGGAACTACTCCTGTCTTAAGAGACTACGCGTTTCATTGAAGCCTTACGAAGAAACTGAATACTAAATCACTAGTTAACACTCATTTTACCCATAATCAATATCCAAAAATAGCATAATAATAATAACAATAAACTCACTTTAAGTAATTCTTGTCGTTCAGCTAAAGTTTGCTCTAATTGTTGTTGACGTTGATGCAATTCATCAATACGCAATCGCAGTGTTGAAACACGTCGAAGTACTTCATCACGTTCTTCAGCTACTTGATTTAAACTATTCTCTAAATGATCCAACTGATTGGTTAATCGTAACTTATCAGAATGTGCAGTTTCTGTTGAATTCTAACACGCAATAATCAAATGTGTGCAAAAAAAGTAGAAAAACAAAGAGTACAAAAGATCCAAGACCTTGAGTGTTTTGTTTTTCTATATATATACAACCGTTTTTCTTCTCTGTTGTTATCAGTTTCATTAAGGACATACTTAGGTGTTAGTTCCTTACATTTAAATAAATCAATAATCAATTTAAACAAATTTTGGCGCCACATTTGAATTTCCCGGACAAAAATGGCTACCATTCAAAGTAAAAACAGATTGGATGATAAAATGCAAGACAGAATGAAAGAAATATGCAAATTTGTGCTCATATTTAACATTTTTGTTTGATTTTAATAGTGAATAAGCATGCATAGCTCGTGCTCGTGCATAAATATCTATGGGTGCTCATTGGTGCATGTGTGTGTGTGCATGTGAGTACAACTATTGACACTAAATTCAAGCATAAAAAATAGTACTGACAAAAAAAGAAAAGAACAACATACTTTATACTTAGTAATTAAACTATCCCGTTCAGCAGTAACTCTTGATAAATCAACTAAAGCACGATCTCGTTCAGCTTCAACTCGACGTAAAACAGTCTGTGTAGTTTGAGTATTACGATCACCAGTTTCATGCATTGCATAAAGATCTTGATGTAATCGGTGTATTTCACAACGTGACTAAAACAAAATCAATTAATAATTATTATGTGTACAATGTTTGAATACTCTTATGTGCAATAATATATGCGTATAAGAAATAGTCTTAGCAACGTAGGCATATCTACGATTTTCTGAATATGTACTAAAAAGATTATGTCTAAAGGGAACAAATGCTTTAAACAGTGCCATCACCAGGCATCTCCTTGATACAGGTCATGAGGTGGACGTCGAAAGATCGTTCAAAATTATCAGTAGGCAAAAAAGTATTCAATTCCCCTAAAATTTGCTGAAGCCATCTCCATCGAGCGCCTGAAAACTGATTTGTGCGTTCAGAAGGAAACAGTTATCAGTCTTTCTTTGCCCTGCCCGGTAACTGGATATTTTCACCTCTCTTTCATCTGATTACGTAATGCTGAAAAGTTTTCATTGTGTATGATCATTATTGTTCGGAATAGTGTTTAATATTATATATATTACTACCGTATGCATATAGTGATTGATTGATTTTTGTTTAAAAATGAACTCTCTGTGCAAGTATGTTAAAATTGTTTCTGTAGATATTTTTAATAATGATTACGGGCTGTAAGCAGCTGATGAGAAGCCAACGAAATAAACAATGATGGCAGCTTTTCGTTCTGCAAAAACTGTTGTTCTTGCTTTATTCAAATGAACCACAAAATAACTGAGCGAAGAATACCCTTTTCGATAATTTCCTCTTCTGGCTCTACAATTATATACTATATATGTTTATATACATAGAATATTCTAGAATAGTAGTCAATAACAATATCAGTGTTTTTTAAATAATATCAATTTGTAAAGTAAGGTCAATGCAATCACAGTTTATTAAAGATGCCTAGATAATAATAATAAAGATATAGTAGCAAATAGAATATCAAATAACATTAGGAGAATTCCACAAAATTTCAGGATCATTCAAACCTAGATGGCCAAGGTTAAGGCAATGTCTGAACCAACTTCTTTTGGACGCATAAATTAGGCTTCTTAATGTGGATCCCAACAGCCAGTCTCAGCAATATTTAGTAAATGAACTGGTTGACATCAATCTCGTGTTCTGTATCCACAAGATGAGATAGAATAGCGCTATGTGAATAGATTTTGTTTGGGAATGCGGCAAATAACTTTGAAAGCTGCCTCGTTGACATCCACAAGATAAGATAGAACAGCGTTACGAATAGATTGTGTTTGTCCTTTACTTAACTAGATAGGGTGATATTCGGAAATTCGATGAGAAACACGCCTAATTGTATGGCCTATGTAACTGACTCCACGAAAGCAATTAAATTGGTAGATACACATGGAAGAGGCGAAATTAGGCAGTTTATCTTTTACTCTCAAACGCAGAAGAGGAGCGGTTTTGAAGACACAGCGTAATTCAGCGACAGGGAATACTCTCTTTACCGCATTTCTAAGGCTCTGTATTAGTATCTCACTGATGTTGTCCCCAAAGAACTACATTTGTAAGAATAATTCCTTTTTAGGAACTGTTGGTACCTTGAGCTGCTTTGACTTTAGATTCATATTCTTATCAGTAAACTTTTCTGGATAACCACTTTCACTCAGCGACCATTTAATATTATTAGGTTCCTCATCACGACATTTACTCGAGCAGATTGTTCTCGCTCTGCGTACCAAGCACTTTATCAGGTTACACTTTTATTTCAAATGTTACCCTAATCTCATATCTCAACACTGTCTGGACAGTAGGATTTTAAGTAGGCTTAATCATCCGCCGTTTTTAGAAAGCTGAAGCAGTTATCCACACTGACAAATTAAGAGGTTATAGATAGTTATCTTCATAATATTGGCTTTATCCACAACACTGTTAATTATTCAGTTGAATCGATGGGAAAATCTAAAATTCAGCTAAATAATCAATATGACCCGTTGCACAAGAGGCAGTGGCTGTCGTGGCCCAAGTGGTCTAGTGGATAACGCTGTGGCATTTGAAAATATGGGCATTTGGTTCGGATCTCGGTGGAAAATCATCACTATCTCACTGGGGAATGTAAGTACATCCGGTTGACGAGTCCCAGACGGGACGAAATACCACCAGTTAACAGTTAATTATGCTTCTGATTTTGTTAATCCGTTGTATATCAAGCACACTGATTCTGTTGGTTGATTCTGTGAATGTTTGTTTCAAGCTATAAACGGTTCACAAAATGACATGATCAGCAGTCATCTAGATGAATTCATGGTTTGGACTAACACTAAGAACTTCAACGACAAAGTGGGAGACATTTCTAGGACATCTAAGGGACAACAATTAATGAATATGTTTGTTTATAAAAATTTTCTATCCTGATAATATTTTTCGTTGATCAAGGTCATTTGGTTGGTCGTCCGCTTGCGTCACTAAGTGAACATAGAGAAGACGGAGTTGACGTAGATAATCAACTGACAGCAAGAAGCAATAATCACTGTCAGCGGGAGAAATTTAAAGGGGTCAATTCCTACCCTTATCTAGGAAGCATAGTTCCAACCACAGGCGGTATTAATGAGGATTTTTAAGCCAGAATGGGAAGTGCAAGACAAACATTCATTACTCTGAGATCAGTGTGTAAATCTTCCGCAGTCAGCATAAACAACAAGGTTCGGATTTTTAACACCAATGTCAGGTCACTCCTTCTATTTTGGTCAGAAACTTGTCGCGTCAACAAAAGCATTTCCAACAGGTTTCAAGCCTTTACATACATCAACCTTCAGGCCATATCGAAGATCACATGGTTAGAAACGACTAGAAACAGGGATTTCCGAGAACAAACCAACCAAGAACCCATTGCTCAAGAAGTATGTAGAAGAAAATGGAGATAAATTGAGAACACATTGAGGAGACTGTCTACAGACATCACGTGCCAAGTCAGCCCTGAAGTGGAACCCAACTGGGAAACGACAAATGGTCGGTCCAAGGGTGTCATGGAGGAGGTTGTGCTTGGAGGACATGAGAGACTATAAGCAATCCCCTTCGGGACCCAGGGGAATAATAATAATAATGCATAATAAATCGACGAAATACGATAACTTTAAGTGAACTGACTAAGAATGTCATAGTCTTTTAACTATCAGTGTCTACAAAAGATTACTCAAGAGTGTTGTAGTATAAATACACGTTAAACAAATTGCCCTGACTCAATTAACGTGCCAAGGTATTCGAAGTGATTGCAAAAAAAACTGTTTCACCACTTGTGATGAAGTACATGATTCTTCAGTCAGATTCGGAAGTAGTAAAGTATAAGTGTCAGGGGCAATAGCCACAGCCTTCCATTCATGTTTCACTCGAGGGTCTGGAATGCTACGTCACTTGAAGGTCTCTTCAGTTCACCTGATCAAAGTAACACCAGCTAATTTTACAGATTCAAATAAAACTACAAGGTAGTCACCTCTGTGTATCAAAAAGCGAGGAACAAACGCCTCTTTCTGTAATTCACAATACACCGGACATGTTGCTAGGTCATCCACCAAAAAATGGGGGACTGTGAATCAATTAGATTTTGGACAAAGTTCTTTCCAGAGAATTGAAATGACTAGTTCCTTGATAGATTGACAATAATTCTTGGTTCGAATCCCGGGCAACATACTTCAAAACACCGCCAATCTTACTGATCAGTAGTAGAATGAGAAGAGAGGGAAGGATGAGAGTATAGCCAGCAGCTCCTGCTTACGTAACGATTTCTTTGACCATTCACCTACTGAGATAGAACCCAGTGGTATTAAGTTTCTGAATCCTGCAGGGTTGGGTGTCATGGGAACTGTTACGAAACAACTGTTCAGTACTCAGTGGCTTTCAACGGTTCTCTAACTCATTTCAACTTGTGATCAACGAACTGACGATGTATTATTACTTCTGCCATTTTAAATGCTTATACTACTGATAATAATTATAAGTAGAATAATGACAATAGACGAATAATTCATGAATGACAACTTACGTCATTGTAGAGTTTGTTGATTTGATCCCTTTCTTGTGTTATTGTATGAACATTACGCTGAATCTAAATAAGTTTTAATTTTATTTTTGAAAAGAAATAGAAGATAGAAAGTTAATATTCCACCATACAATGTAATATATCAGATCATTGGGCAAAGTTCAACTCTGCGACCTTGAACAACCAATCAGAATCCAGATGAGAAAAAAGTGACATAATCGTTTAAAAAGATTTTAAGAGCGTTAAAAAAAGGTGGCATTAAACTGGATAATGGTCTCTGATGTGTTGTAAAGTAGGCGTAAGATGACTGATGTTCAGATGAAACAATAAAATAAGAGAATGCATGATGTAACCAAAATTATATAACTTCGCTATGCAAGTTCAGTGAGATCAAGAAAGCACAGTGTTCACTGCTGTCTCTTCTTGTCTACATAGACTTGGTTTTATGCGTTTGATCGCGAGACTGACTCTCTTTTTAGCTGAGCCATCGGTGATCAAATCAAAACATGGCCTCGTTAGTCAATGAAATCCACAACAGTTAGTTTAAGCCAGTCACGTAGGTAGGTGTAGACTACCTGACCAGTTGGGGTCCTCGAGATAGTAAAAACTAATGGAGGTTGGAGACAATCGGTGATATGGATCAAAATCTTCGTTCTCAATGGCTGTCGCAGATACATCCACTCCTTGTGACTCATAACACCCAATAAAACTATATTGTTCTTCGATATTACTATTCTTTTTGCCTCATATCTCTGTTTACTGTCTCTATTTTGCATTTCCCTTAACCTCCTTCTCTTCCTTTGTGTCCTACATGGAGTGTGGCGACTTGAACTGCTGCATATGGGTGTAAATTTCTACTCTGAAATCAGTCACTTAGTCAGTCAGTCAGTCAGGGTAATGAGTGTATTTCTGAAGAATCGCAAACAAAGACGAAACAGACATCTTGTACTACTTGATTTTCTCTAACTGAGGTAGGCATACTATGAAAATTTACACTGAATTAGTTGGAAACAATTTCATAAAGAAAGAAGCCTTGGAATGCATAACCGCGAGAACAAATTATTGAACTGTATGATGATGGATATCTGCTAATAATTGCTATGACAACGTTAACAGTTGACCTTGAAAGTTTCTGTATTCTTTTTTGTTTGAAAATTCAAAGTAAAATTTGTCTAAAATTAGTTTAAAAATGAATGATTATCATTTCTTGACTAATATTCAATGAAAAATAAGCTGAAAGTATTTTTAGGTAAAGAAACAAAAGGGCTTTGTGTTATTCAAACACAGGTAGGCTTATGAGTGAACTAGAATTTGGACACAAACGCACACACACGCACACGCATAATCAAGTGTATCTTTTATAGACGCCTTAGGTCGTTATCCTAAAATCAAAAGAAAAGGTTTGACAGGTGACAGACAGTTTTGTATTTCTTCTGACATTCATGTAACCATTAGTAATGTGTACAAGTGCTATAATTTAAGAGGAATTCCTTAACTGTAGTTGGTAGATAAATTCGTAATTTCATACATTTATTCTCCTTCATGAATTAAAACAAAAATCAAACACAAATTGCTTGTGAAGGATAAATAATATGAGGTTATCATTTGTTCCGGTGGAATCTCTTCAACTGCTTACAACCTAAAAGTTTCATACATTTGGTTCCTTTGTTTCATTTCGATAGAGAAAGAAAGACCAAATTTGAAGTATAAAATGGTATTGTCATTCGATTTCACAGGTTCTCATCAGCTAACTGCACACAACTACCTGAAATTACAATGGTTATCAATAATAACATTTCACACTTCAATGTTCGAAAGGTAATCGAGAAAACATTATAAGATCAACGCATCCGGAATATAAGGATTAAAATTATTTTCAATTTAAGTTACCATCAATTTAGATGCTATCAAACTATCAAAAAAGTGGCGGGGTGAGAGAAGACAGAAACCAGTGTTAGTTTGTACATCAATATGTACGCCAACTCAAGAAGGTTAAATTTCATCAAATTGAAAACTTGCTTAGTGATCTAAGCTCACCAGTGTGTGTGAATAATCAGCGTAATGAAAGTAATACGGTTACCCAGGGAGTGAGTGAGAGATTGACTACACTCTCTCTTTCTGTGTGCATAAGTTTTGGTCTGAGATGTTTGATTGCAATTGCTTCAGCAGTAAATCGTGGTAGATTCACTGTCCTGTGTATGCTTAGTGTTTTGAAGGATTTGGAAATCTTGAAAAAATGAGCCGTATCCATAAAGTGCGTGTCTGGTAATTGCACTTTGTAAATATCTACTTTTTCTTTTAAGCATAAGTTTCACGAAATATGCTCTGAAAGTCGGATAGAAGCCCTTCTTTCTGTTCTTTCAATGTACTTGCTGCCGCACTAACTTCTGCCAATTCACGATATAGCGCAGAAGTTAGAATTCATGGGCCATTGGATCGGTTCCCAGTAGCTTAATGGTCTACCATCTCGCTAGCCTTGTAACCAGAAGGTCCTCGGTTCGAACCCCGGTGGGTGCGTGCTGCTGAAGAGTTAGTCCCAATCTAGGACGAAACAGCTGTCCAGTACTCCCAGGTTTTCCAGTGGTTCTCTAACCAATTTCAGCTCATGATGGAATCCTGTAACCAATCAACCAAATCCCTACAAACCAACACTTGAATATCTAATAAACAGTGTTAGCTTATACGTCAACATGACAACTCAAAAAGGTTAAAGTTCATCAGATTGAAAAGTTGCTTAGTGAGCTGAGCTCACTAGTATGTATGACTAAGCAAAGGATGAAAGGAGCCATGAAGAGATGCTTCCCTGCAGCCAAGCTGGTGACACTATACACCAAGCACTACATGCTCTATAAGCCAATCAAAACTGGATAAAGATCCTGCTGATGTCACCTCCAACTGAATATACAAATTTACGTGCACCTGCGGCAACAAGTACATTGGAAGGACAGAAAGAAGGGCTTCTATCCGACTTTCGGAGCATATTTCGAGAAACTTATGCTTAAGAGAAAAAGTACATATTTACAAAGTGCAATTACCTAAACACCCACCCTGTGGATACGGCTCATTTTTTCAAGATTTCCAAATCCTTCAAAACACTAAGCATACACAGGACAGTGAATCTACTACGATTTGCTGAAGCAATTGCAATCAAAATCAAACGTCTCAAACCAAACTTATTCACTTTCATTACACTGTTTAGTCATACACACCAGTGAGATGAGCTCAATAAGCAAGTTTTCAATTTGATGAACTTTAACCTTCTTGAGTTGACGTACATGTTGACGTACAAGCTAACACTGTTTATTCGATTTTTCTGTTTTCTGTCTTCTCTCAACCCCGCCCCCACCCTTTTTTCTTTCATAGTTTGATAGCTTATAAATTGATGGTAACTTAAACTAAAAATAATTGTAATACTTATATTCTGGATGCGTTGGTCTTATTATGTTTTAATTGCATGGAGGATTTCATCATGAGCTGAAATCAGTTAGAGAACCACTGGAAAACCAGCTGGGAGTACTGGACAGCTGTTTCGTCCCAGTTTGGGACTCTTCATCAGTACGCGCCAACCGGGATTCGATCCCAGGACCTTCTGGTTACAAGACTAGCGATCTCGTAGACCATTGAGCCACTGGGACCCGATCCAATGGCCCTATTCAGGCAGTTAACCTAAGGTTCTAGTGGGAAGCCGTGACCAGTAGGGTACAGCAGGTTGAAGATGAGGCAGTAACTGATCTAAGAAGACATTGCGAAATGGTCGCGCTATGTCATACGTGAATTGGCAGAAGTTAGAATTCAAGGACCATTGGATCGCATCCCAGTGGCTCAATGGTCTACGAGCTCGCTAGTCTTGTAACCAGAAGGTCCTTGGTTCGAACCACCTATGGTGGGTGCGTACTGTTGAAGAGTCCCAAACTAGGACGAAACAGCTGTCCAGTACTCCCAGCTGGTTTTCCAGTGGTTCTCTAACTGATGTCAGCTCATGATGAAATCCTCCATGCAATTAAACAAAATCCCTACCAAACCAATACTTGAAAATTATTGTGTTTTCTTGATTACCTTTCGAACATTGAAGTATGAAATGTTATAATTTATAACCATTGTAATTTCTGGTAGTTTGCAGCAGCTGATGAGAACCTGTGAAATAGAATGACGATATCATTTTATACTGCAAATCTGGTCTTTCTTTCTCTATCGAAATTTATCAAGTGAACCATATGTATGAAATTCTACGTCTTTTTTTTGAAATAACTTAACAACACGTCTTACACTGTCATTTGTCGAAGTGTCTAGTAAGTCAACAAACTGCAATTATCACACAGGAGTTGACAACTGCTATGGTTACTCTATCCCCTGATGCAGTCATGGTTACTATGACTCAACAGGCATAAAAGTAGCTTTTTTTTAAAAATAAATTTCCTATTCACAGTATAGAATTTACTTGAAGAGAAATGTAGTTTGATTGACACTGGCTTAGAATGTTACACCCAGAAAATACATCACCCAAGTAAAAATACCTTTTAATAAGTAGAAAAGAAGTATGTGTGAAGTGGGGACCTAACCTTCAGTTTGTAAAAGCAAACTTCCTCTACTCTGTCTGTATAATTATTACGATCTACGTATTTCCTTATTTTGTTTTTGAACCCCCCCCCCACTTTATTCCTTTTTCCTGTTTTGAATTTTGTTAAAACAAAACAAAACAGCAAACAAACATAGAGTATGTCTAAATAATTGTGGTGCTGAGTACATTTCCTTTCTGGAACAATAGCAAACGTTTATAGGAAACATGACATTGGAAAATAATTAATTCTGTATGCCTTTGAATGTATGACAAACCTGTGTACCAGGTAAAAAAATGCGTAAACATGAGTTTAATTTGTTCTCGCCCTTTCACCACTTATGATACAGTTGACTTATCTATCATTTTTTTCCTATGACATACTCATTACTTGTCATAATACAAGTAAACTGAAGAGCAGTATTAGTAGTTGTTTAATCGTTGGAGCTAATTGGCAGGAAATTCTACACTTATGTTTCATACTTGTTGGTACTTATCAGTCAGTGAGCAAGGCGTGTCTTTAGTTTTGAGGAAAAAACACCTCATATCCCTTTATGTGACTTAAAGCCCAGTAAATCATCTAGTCCTGTGATGAAGAAGATTTGTAGCTCAGGTGGATGATTTTGATGTGATTGTGTTCTCTGAGCTAGCTGGATGGCTTATTTGTGAAGATGTCATTGCCCTATTAAGCAATATCTTCACCGCGAGGTTATTGGTCATCTCTCCTGGTGACCATTTGAATGTCATGATTGGTTGATTTTGTGTGTTTTCACACCTTCTGGGCTACTTGTATGGGAAATGGTTGTTTCCGTCAAAAGACATGACATCCATTCCCTCCTTCATTTCGCTGCACACAGACAACCACGGACATCAGTTCGACTGGGACAACCAACATTCAAATATTAGACAGAGAAAACACCAGGAATGCTAGCCAGAGAATTCTTAAAGCCCGCCAGGTATTCCAGTGAATCGTCAATCAATAGATACACTGACACAGTAAAAATTTACCAATCGATAAGAAGGAAGTCTCACACACAAAGGATAAAACTTCAGGTCAATGAAACAAGTAGCTTAGAGGGTGTGAAAACACACAAGAACAACCAATCACGTTCAAGGTCACCAGGAGAGATAATTAATAAACGTGGATAAATCTAAATGTTCACTTCCTTCAAATTGAAGTATGCACTGAAGATGTTGCCTAGTACTAGGGCAATGAAAGCTTCGCAAATAAACCATTCAACTAGCTCAGAGAATACAACTTTACCTAGTGGTATGTTCAGAGACATTAACACTGAGTTATTCGGGCTTACGACTGACCTCGCATAGAACTGTAATGAATGCTTTGATTGGACACTAAGCAGTAACTAATCATTCGTGTAGGTAAAAACGGAATTCTACCAGTCAAGTTTGCAATGTGGACGTTATCTGATAACAATTCAAAGGATTCGTCGTTGTGGTAATTAACGTAGCATGGTAGCCACATTACAAACACGATTGATAGATTTCAGTCTACACCAACATCAAGGACCAAACACATTCCACTAGTTATTGGCTAATGACCAATCAAAATCCTTGTAATACTGAAAGTAGTAGTACTATATTTGAGTAGAGACAATGGTATACAGCACACTGATGACAAAGTTAAGTTTGTACATTGAGTATATGTGTAACGACAGAGGACAAGGACCAGGCAACAGATCGTTTATTGAGAAAACCAAAGGATATTTATAGATTTTAATGTACATTATTGTCGGTGGAGAAGCAAAGTCTTCTGATTGGTTGTTTTCTTGTTGAAGGTTATTCTGTCATCACTTTATGCTGATGATTTACCGAAACGATCGCAATCAAACGATTCAAACCCGACTTATGCATGCAAAAAGAGAGTGTGATTAACTTCTCGCTACCTTGGTAAGTGAATTTTGATTTTGATTACATTAATTAGTCATCTAATTCAGTGATCTCAACTCATTGAACAACAAACTGTAACCGCTTTTGTTTTTTGAGTTGTTATATGAACCTACAAGATGACACTGTCTTGTTAATTTTTTCTGTTTTCTGTCTTACCCCTCCCCCCTCTTTTCTACTTTGAAAGCATATAAATTGATGATGACAACTTTAACTAAAAATTGTAATGGTTACACTGTGGATGCGTCAATTTTATAGTATTTCTTCTCTACTACCACTCTCAAACATTAAAGTATGTTATTATCAATCTGTAATTTCAGGTAATTTTGCAGCTGATGAGAACCCATGGAATAGAATGACGATATCACATTTTATACTGCAAATTTCGTCTTCCTTTCTTTATCGAAATTTATCAATGGAATCAAATGTATAAAAAAGAATATAATCTTGAACATTGATCAATCAGAGGGTTATTCAAATGAATGCACTACACTTACTTCTTGAACTCTATGCTCTAATTTATTGAGTAGACTTCTCAGCTCATCACGTTCCTGTCGAAGTTTAGTTAGCTCCATATAATCATCTCGAGACTAGACAGGTTACAAAAAAAGGGGCAGCGGGAAAAAATAATAATAAACTAACATTAAAGAAATGAAAGTTACATTTTACGGTAAATTCCATTCACAATGAAATTATAGTTTTCTGTTATTTTAAGGCAGCAAAACGTATCATGAAGTTGAACTATAAGACCACAACTGAACGAGTGAATCACTGACGATATTGTTATTCCATTGGATTCTTAGTGGAATATAGAGCTCCAGAAACACAACGATATGTCACTCTGTTCTTTGCAGTATTTTTAGCTGACTTCACAATTTCTCATAAGCTTTTATTCTCTCCTATTTGAACTGGTCGATCGCATGAAAAAGATGAATTTGGGTGTAATTAATGGAAATCAAATTACTGCTGCGCACTGTGATGAAGAATTCCAAGCTGAGGAGATACAGATATCAGGGGCTCCCTATGTATCTGATATCTTCATTGATTTTATTCATTATCTGTGTTCTGAGTGGAATATAGGGCTTCAGCACCATATTTCCCTTTCACCGGATTCTCTCTCAGCTCTTTAGCTGGCCCTACGAATACTCAAAAGCTGGAACTTCTTTATGTCACGCTCCTCATTCAAGGTGTAATTTCACTTGGCGATTTCCTCAATGTATGTCCAATCCACCTTCACTTCATCCTGCATATATGTTGTGCGATGGATTGTGCTAAATGTCAAAGTTCCTTGTTTCTTATCATTCGTTGTCGGCCATCTAATCTTTAATTTCACTAAAAGTGTCTGAGTCACACTTATTTGAACTAAGATTTCTTTTGTTTTTAATTTTATTTATGATAATAGCTTGATTCTACATCGTATTTTTGGTACATGTATGGAATTTTCAGCAGGTGATATCGGCCGATAGTTGAAATCTGGTGTGCGTCGAAAGGAGGTCGAACCCCAAAACAATCTGCATGGTCAGCGAGAGTCTTAACCGCTGTGCCACCAACACATATAAAGGGAGGCCATGAGGCCTTACCACTGACAAAAACTACACGCCTGAGCTCACCCGATTAGGGTCCATTGTGATTTTCAACCTATAGAGGTGAGATGGTGAGCCTCCATCTGGGGTCAGAGCATTCTCAGTCACTCTTAAGTGGGCACCAGGATCGAGCATGCAGAGTGCATACCCGTCATATAAATAGATGCAGAAGAAATTCCTATGGTGTCTGCATTCGACTCAATCCTACTAACATCAACAGTACAGATGGTAGCAATTAAAGTTGGAAAATTTATACTCTTGAAGTTATTCAATGCATCCATCCTGGAGATAAGTGCTCGCAGACATGTCATACAGGTTGTACAGACACAGTAAACATCAATTTTTAACTCTCAGAGTGAAAAACTTAAAAAAGTTAGCTTGAATTGAATCTTTGCAAAAGCTGTCATATCAGTCAAGGTAGTTTTCCCCTGACATATTATCGAAACCATGGGAAGAGTTTTCCTACAGTCTTACATCTAACAATACACCATTCCAGTGGGAAATCGTGAATAGCGGTTTCTACCAAGTGAGGTGTCAGGACAAACATTGGTTGATGATATATTGACTGATAATTGGGTTACATATCGCGAAGTTAGTAATGGTAGGCCGGTGGTTTATATTACAGTGGCTGTAACAGTGGTTAGATCCCTGGTTGGGTGATGCATACGTAGAGATGAGGAGTCTCAAACGGTGACATAATGGCTATTCAGTACACCCGAGTTTTTAATTGTTCTCTAACTAAAGTTAATTCGTCATCACTCATAATAGTGGCTAACAGTATTTTATATATACAATTACAATATGCTGTAATAAATATTATCTAGTCCCATGTGTTTTAAGCGAAGTGTTATTATTATTATTGTTTTCCTTGGTTCCTAGAGGAACAAAGTGCTTCAGCCACATGTCTCCATTGCGTTCGATTCCCTGTCAACGTTTTCACCTGACTCCACGTCTGCCCACATGTCCTCACCTCGTATTTGCTCGACCTCCTCCATTCCATGTCACCCTCGCACTGACGACCAACTAACTCTCCGCTTCCCATTCGAGTTCTATTCAAGCAATGGCCTGGCGTGTGATGTTACTCACTTGATGCTTTGTTTTCTCAGAGTATGGCCAATCCACCTCCATTTCTTCCTGCATATGTGTTGCACAATTGGTTCCTACTGGGTTGATACGTTGGTTTATTGAGGAGATCTCTCCCTATTGCTGATCTTTTCTAGCCGGCTATCTGATATTGAGTGAAGACAGATGTTCATGGAGGTCCGTAATTTGTTAGAAACGGCTTTCGTGATGCGGAACCAAGTCTCTGATCCGCACAGTAGCACTGACTTCACATTCGAGTTGAAAATCCGGATCCTGAGTAGTGCTATTGATCTCCTTCATACAGACTTGAGAGTAATGAAAGCTTACCTTGCATTCCTTATCGTCGCTTTGATATTCTCATCAGTTCCGTCCGCCTGTATTTGAAACGATGATTCCCAGGTTGGTAGGTAGTTAGTTAAAGGAGGTTGCTTCTTTCAGATTTCTCCCATTTATGCTGATTGTTGTCTGTTGTTGTTGCTGTGGCTGTTGCTGTAGGCCGGGAATCTTCATCACCTCTGTTTTCTCTATATTTACCTGAAGTTCTATCTTTGATGCTTTTTCTGCCAACTTGTTGCTTTTCACCTGCATATCTCCCAGTTTGTGGGAAATCAGACATATATCATCGGTGAAGTCCAGATCCTCCAAGTTTTTTGTGTGGGTCCATTTTATGCCTGTCTCCTCGCTGCCCGCTGTCTGTCACATTATCCAGTCTACCGCAATCAGGAAAATCATTGGTGATAGTAGGCAACCCTGTCTTACTCCTGTCTTCACTTCGAAGGATTCTGTGGATTACTTGGCACGCAGTATTATCGCACAGCTGTTGGATGAGGTATATAATTGTTGGTGGCACCCCTTGGTATTAGCGAATTAGTTTCCAAATCACCTCTCGATGGACGCTTTCGAAGGCCTTTTCAAAGTCTATGAAGCTGAGTGAGGTAGATAGCTGACTGCCATTCCAAGTTCTGTTCAACGGTGATCCGTAGTGATGCAATTTGATCGATGCATGACTTGCTTCTCCTGAATCCAGCCTGTTCCGGTCGAAGTTTTTCATCCAGGGCAACGTGTTCGGTTCTCTCTAGGATGACGTAACTTAGTATTTTGCCTGGTATGGACAGGAGCATAATGCCATGCCAGTTCTTTCATTGACCTAAGTCCTCTTCCTTTGGCAGTTTGAATAAGTAGTCTTTCGTCCTATCAGCCCGGCACCTTACCCTCTTTCCACACTTCCCCCAGTGGTGATGTCTCGGGGTCCATTTTCAATGCATTTGCTGCGATTCTGCCTGGTCCTGCTGCCCTTCCAGTTTTTAACATCTTGATTGCCTTCAGGACTTCTGTTCTTGTCGCAGGGGTTGATATGCGCTGGTAATTCTGATCCCGCTGTTGGTATTATTGGGCGAGTTGTAGGTGGTGGTCGGTTTAGAAGACTTTCGAAGTGTTCAGCCCGATGTTTCGTTTGCTCCACCTCTTTGGTGATTGGCTTTCCATTGTCATAAAGTGCCATAGGAAAATGGATTCATAATATTCCATTTTAATGTTTTTAATTTCGCATTGAACATTGAACGATGAAGAGGCAATTTTAAAATGTTTACAAATCCAACTTTTGTTTTTCTATTTCTGTGTTGTATATCATGCAAATTTGTTAAGACTTATCCAATGATTCATGTGTTACTGGATGCACATGACATTTTGTTTATGTAATAACTTTCGTTTTGTTCATTTCATACTACTATTGATATTTTGAATTAGTCCAGGTATTTGAAATGCGTATTTCAATGTATTTGAATGTAAATCTATAAACTTAAGCTCAATCGAATATTGTTTATTGTATAATTTAAAATATCATACAGGATAAAAGTAGCTAGTAGTGAAATTCAGGATGCACCGTTTTGCCCTAACTGAGGCCCATCACCTGGATGCACCTGAATTCCTAGTGAATGATGGTTTGCATCCCTACTGGGACTAGAACCCGCCAATCATTGTCTCAAAGGAAAAAGCGTTATTCACTGCACCACTCAGACCAAGATAGCCACTTCTTGTGCAATGCCTATCAACAGTTAGCGGCTTAATTTGTTAGTTTGTAAGCAAATATTAGCCATCGAATATTATCGAAGTATCTGAACTAGTTAGTAGCCGATGTGTCAACACAAGCCGATCACTTCTGTCGAATATAACCCAAAATCAAGGCATATTTCGATGAATACACTAACTTTATATGCATATACATATATATGATGGGGAAGATTTGTAGCTCAGGTGGATGATTTTGATGTGGTTGTCTTCTCTGACCTAGCTGGATGGTTTATTTGCAAAGCTTTCATTACCCAACATCTTCAGCGCATACTTCATTTTGAAATGAGCTTTTAGATTCCTCTACGAGTTTATTAATCATCTCTCCTGGTGACCAACTTGAACGTGATTGGTTGTTCTTGTGCGTGTTTTCACACCCTCCAGGCTACTTGTATTGCAACTGATTGTTTCCTTGACTTGAACTTTGACCCTTTGTGTATAAGATCTCCTTCTTATCGGTTGGTAAATGTTGTCTGTCTCGATGTGTCTACTGATTGACGATTAACTGGAATACAAGGCGGGCTTCTAAAAGTTCTCTGGCTAGCATTCTTGATGTTACCTCTGTCTGATATTTGAATGTTGGTTTTGTCGGTCGAATTGATTTCCGTGGTTGTTTGTATGAAGTGATATGAGCAAGGGAGTGAATGTCGTGTCTTCTGATGGCTAGCTTATGTTCATGGATACGAAGACGAAGAGGACGTCCACTTTGGCCAATGTAGTGTTTTCGCCGCTGTTACAATTTATTTTGTAGATGATGTTGCTTTTTTCTTCTTTCGTTTTTGAGTCTTTTGGTTGACACAGGGCTGGCTGGCTGAGTGAAGTGATTTTGTTGGTTTGTGTGCTATGTGAATTCCTTAAGGTTTGAAGAGTCATGTAGTGATTTCTGAGATGTCCTTTATACATATATATATACTAGGGTGATTTTCCTTGAGGACCTTAGATTTGGTACGTTGGTGGCTTTGGGGTATATGTCTTGTGATGAAGTTCCGTGGATATCCATTCTTTTGAAAGACGTCCATGAGATATTTTTCGTCAATTTTCCTTAAGATAGGAGCGCTGAAATGAGTCCTGGCTGTCTTGAATAATGTTTGTATACAACTCCTTTTGTGTGCCATTGAATTGTTGCTGTTGTAATTAATTATTTTGTCTGTGTGAGTTGATTTTCTACAAAACTGAGTTTCTAATTCCCCTGTGGTTGTTCGTTTAATTGAGACGTCCAAATTTGGGATTTTGTCCTCGGATTCCTCTTTTCTTGTGAACTCGACGTCGTGGAAGACGTTGTTTATTATCTCACTCGTTTCTTTTGATTATCACAAATCTGTCGTTTACGCAAAGTATCCAAATTCAAATACTAGACGGAGGAAGCATCAAGAATGCTATCCAGAGAATTTTTAGAAGCCTGGCATTCCAGCGAATCGTCAACCAATAGACACATCCAGATAGACAACATTTACCAACCGATAAGAAGGAAATCTTATACACAAAGGGTCAAAGTTCAAGTCAAAGAAACAATCAGTTGCAACACAAGTAGCCTAGAAGGTGTGAAAACACACACAGGAACAACCAATCGCGTTCAAGTTGGTCACCAGGAGATATGACTAATAAACTTGCGCTGAAGATGTTGCCTATTAGGGCAATGAAAGCTTTGCAAATAAACTATCCAACTAGTTTAGAGATCACAACCACATCAATATACATATGTATGTATATATATAATTTACCTGAAATCTGTTCAGCGATCTTGACCTGGTGACTGGTGATGGACTCCTGTGACGAGTTCGTGTTAAATTATCTAACTCTTGTCGTAGTAGATCTCTTTCAACGCGTAACTCTTGGACTTGTTGTTCAAGCTAACAGTTAAGAAAAAGTGAGATTAGGTGAAAACGAAAAAATCTTCTGAAGTCATATAATAAGAGAAAAGGAATAACAACTTTAAAACGTTATTTACTAGTTTTTATGAGTTTGACCTCGGATTGATATCTCAGTTAGAGAACCATTGAAAACCAGCAACAGGGAGTACTGGACAGCTCACATTGTAACCGGAACCCGATGAATGCGAACTACTGACGTTCCTCAACCTAGGATGCAACAGTTGTTTAGTACTCCCTGGCGGTTTTCAATGGTTCTCTAACTGACATCAATCCGCAGTCACACTCGTAAAGACAAATCTAATCCTTACAATTCAACTCTTGAAAATTATTTACTAGTCTTCTCAAGAGAATACAATGAATAAATGACTAATGATAAAGAAATACACCTTCATTTCTTCCTGACTCCAGTATTTTTCACCTCTTACAATAATAATTTTCAAAGTAATAGTGAACTTAATAACAGTCAAATAGTTATTTTCCACGGCCAATTGATTATTCGTATTATTATTATTATTGTGGATGGCTGGAATTCATTATTAACTCTGTAGTCAACAGTTTAGAGACTCCATTTCCATTCTAACTGCTTACATAAACTCTTCTTCTCCATCTTGAGTACACTGAGCTACACTTCCTCTCTCTTGAGACTAAGATGAAGTCTGTCTGTATTCTGGTCCGTCCATCTGGTGGAACTCATACAGTTTTATGGATATCCTAACACTTGTACAAGATGTCTCTAATCACCAAATCAGTGAGAGCTCAGAAATTCACGAGGAAGTTAAACGTTATCATCCATTTCACCAAGTGCCGCTCGATCCATGATTAGATCTCTTCTTGTTTTGTTTGATCCCAGTTTGTCGCCTATGTTAGCCATTAGAATTCTCATTTCGCTATCTGAGGTCTTGTCCATTACTATTTATAGTTGTCTGTAGAAGTTCTACTTCTTCTCTTTATCTGTGCTGTCTGTAGGCATGTAGCATTGGACAATTGTGAATTTTTAGCCTTTTGAGTTGAATCCTCCTGCTTAAAATTCCGAAGGATGTCGGTTCCTTCTGCTTGAGAACCTTTGCAACTGTTAATGACATCATAATAGCCATACCCTCAGTTTGCTGGTGTAGATTATTTACTCTCCAATTAACATTTTTCACAGTCCAAATCTAACCCATTTACTGTCACAAATTCTTAAGACTTCCACTCGATTTTAAATTTGAATTTGGAGACAACAGACGTGAGGCCCGACTGAATTCCTAAATTCCTATTTTAAGGACTTTGACATCATATCTTCTCATTTCTTCTAAAATGTAAGCAGCCTTTCTAGACAGCCTCACATATCAAGCGGACATTCTATGTTTCCAGGTTCAACTCAGCTTCTATCTCGGGGAGAATTTTCTGTCACCAGAGTCATCCGTTTTCGAATTCAAAAGTTATCTCGATTCCATGGGGAGAAGAAGTTCATTTTACCTCTGCGTTGATGTCTCAATAGAGATGTGGTTTCGTTTTTACGGAGTGAAGTTGCTACTGACCAGTAAAGTAGACAATTTTTCAGAATGCGTTAGTTAGTATTCAAACCCGTGCCTTCTGTCTGACTGCCAAACATTTCACCACCGAACTGACAACTCAGTAAAACAACTTGATTGAAGGATAAAGCATAATTTTGAAAAGACAGAAAAACAACGTTGGCTTAACCTCGTTTTCGACGATTATCAGCATTTTTCTACATCCCCATGAGAATTATCTTAAACAAACATAACAGGAATTCAAACTAACGATGACTATGAAATGTTAAAACAGTGAGGAAAGAAGTAAAGAGGGAATATCGACTACAATGTGTTTTTTTATTCCTTGACGTTCCCAGTGGAATATATAGGGCTTCAAGATAGAGGCTTGAAGTTTCTGTAGCAGTGGTGTTTATTTTTACGGGATGGGGTTGCTAACCTTATGCCCAACTTTCCCTCTGTTCCAGTCCTATTACTGACTTAGCGATGTTTCGGAGTTCGTCAGCCGGGGATCGAACCCCGACCCACCTGCATGGCTGACGAACGTTCTACGGCTGTGCCAACGACGCATAACTACAATGTGTATTACATTGTAAAATATGGTTGGTTAGAAAACCCGTCTGTTGGACCACTGTTATGTAATATCTTTGAGCATCTGAATGTGTGTGTGCACACGTTAGATAAGCGTATTTGTCAAAGTACGCCAATTACTTGACGTCTTGAGCCACCAAATAAACATATGCCTTTTAATAGCATGAAAACTGGAAACTATTCAATTTTGAATTACGTCACTGCAACAATTATTTTTTTAAGGACGTTCCATTAAGAAGTTACTCTCTTCACCAGCTTTTAATTATAGTTTTATAGTTCACTATTGAAAAATAATTTCATCCGGATCTATTTTGTTTTCGTCTCGATTCAAAGTTAATTTGTATTTCATTTTGTTTAAGTGATTATTAATTATGGCGGCCTATTTTAAATTGCTGCGACATTTGGATTTCCATTAAGCATAATACTTCAAATTTATTCTATTCCATATTGTGTTTTAATTTTCCAGTTACGTCATTCCATCAGAACCTGCTTTCATAAACAGTTTTTAAGTAGGTTTTACTATTATGTTGAGAATTTCTTCAAGGAAGTGAAGGAGACATAACGAATGAAGGGCAGGTTCAATGAAAGCATGTTCCACAGCCCACTACATGATGCTTTATGATATACTGTTGAATTTGAACAAAGTGTACAAGAAGTAAATATTGTACAATAGATTGGCTGAGAACACTTCGCTGTGCATAAACAGATTGTCTAGAATAAAGCTGGTATCAGTGATCCATGAATGCAAGTGTAATCAAACATTCTGAAGGAGGAACTTCTACTGCACAATTTTTAATTGTGTGAATGGTGTAGCATGTACAATTAGTCACGTGACCGTTAATTCATATTCTCAGAATTTTATTTAATAATTGAACTAATTGAAGAAACCTCTGTTAATATTAGGGGGTTGGAGAAAATCAGAAGGAAGCTCTGTCTTACCTAGGTTTTGTGCTAGTTGACAGTCTGCAACCTTGAGGGAACTCATATCCCTACTGAGATTCAAATCCGTGTTACCCAGTGAAGAGGTCAGAAACGTGCCCACTAAGCTATTCGGGTTCCTGATTGACCTCCTGTAGGACTATATTGTATAATTTGATTGTACACCAGTCAGTAACTAGTGTGATGTGTCTAGCCCTTTCTCTGGCACAGACTGAATTCTATCAGTCAAATTTGTAATTTGCTAACGTCTCCAACTGCAGCACTGGGTAACGAGGGTTTGAATCTCAGAAGAAACATGAATTCCTTCAAGCTTGCAGATACGCCTTGTTGACTGGTGAGTGCCAACTAGCACAAAACCTAGGTAAGACAGGGCTTCCTGAGGCCGATTTCCTCCAACCACCTAATATCAACAATTCACAGTGCACCGTGGTAGCATGGTGGCGACATTGCATACTTGACTGATATAATTCAGTCTGCATCAGAGAAAGAACTAGGCACATCACTCTATTCACTAACAAGTATCCCATCAAAGTGAAGTCCCCTTTGTGTCGGGTTCATATATGATACACTATGGCTACATAAGCTAAATTTATTCCTGTCTAGAAAATTAGCCGCACTATTCATCAGTCAGAAGTGAACATGTACGTATTGGAGATAACTTCCAGCTGTGTTTACAAATTTACTTGTGCGTCCTGAGCAAGTGCACTAGAAGGACAGAAAGATAGACGTCCACTCGCCAGTCCAAACATATTACAAAATGCCTGAAACACAAAGATTCCAAGTATCTTACCAGTGCATCTGGTTGACATCTAATCGAATCGTGAAACTCCGATTGCATTAACTATTATCAATGTGTAAAGAAATTCAACTTCGGTTCGCCGACTCTACTGATCTGAAGCATCTCAAACCCAACCAGGGTATACTAAAAGAAACTGTAATTAGTCCTAGTTAATTCTGGTTGCAGTTACTACAATTACTACATAATTGTATATTCTAATTTCTATTATTACTATTATTATTGTTGTCAGTGTAACGGAAATTAGGTACACCCTATGTGGAGGATCTGGACTTCGCCGATGATATATGTCTGATTTCCCACAAACTGGAAGATATGCAAGCGAAAAGCAACAAGTTGGCAGAAGAAGCATTCAGAGAAGATACGACTTCAGGTGAACATAGAGAAAACAGAGGTAGGTGATGAAGATTCCTGGGCAACACCACCAACAGCAACAACAACAACAGACAACAATCAGCATAAATGGAAGGAAACTGAAAGAAACAACCTCCTTTACCTGCCTACCTGGGAAGCATCGTTTCAACTAGAGGCGGACGGAATTGACGAGGATATCAAAGCAAGAATCGGAAAAGCAAGACAAGCTTTCACTACTCTCAAGTCTGTGTGGAGGTCAACAGCACTCAGCATCAAAAATAAGATCCGGATTTTCAACTCCAATGTGGAGTCAGTGACCCTAGTCGGATCAGAGACTTGCACTGCGCGTCATAAAGAGCATCTCAAACAAACTACAGACCTTCATTAACAGTTGTCTTCGCTCAATACTCAAGATCAGACGACTGGCCAGAAAAGATCAGCAACAGAGATCTCTGGGGGCGAACCAACCAGGAACCGATTGTAAAACAAATGGAGATGGATTGGCTGGCCATACTCTGAGGAAACCATCAAGTGACATCACTAGACAAGCCATCGCTCGAGTGGAACCCGACTGAAAGGGAAGCGGCGAGTTGGTCGTCAGTGCGAGGGTGACTTGGAGGAGGTCATGTGAAGAGGAGATGAAAGCATGTGGGCAGACTTGGAGCCAGGTGAAGACTCTAGCAGAGAACCGAACGCAATGGAGACGCACGGCTGAAGCCCTATATTCCTCTAGGAATTAAAGGAAACAATAATACTAATACTAATAATAATAATAATATGTGAAAATCGTCATTAGCCCAGATCCTCCGTGGTGTGCTTGCTAATTCTGCCCTTCATATTGTGTTTCCTTGTCTTCTTTTCGTGTCTCCCATGTTTCGCCGTAATTCTGGCTCATTCTCTCTCTTTGACATCGAATCTACGTTTCTACTTCTGATAGATCTTGTCAGTAGTACACGCCATATTAGTACTTTGACCAACTGGTCTTAATTATTTTGACAGAATTTAAATCACTTCTAAATGCTTTCTTGCACATCATTACGTAATCTCCGTCCTGTTTTCTGACTGCTAATTAGCGTTTTGTTGTAAGCCAGCTACTAAAACTTTTGGAGTCTCCTTCTAAACTTACGATAAATGACTAGTTTCTTTTAGTGTCAGTTGTAATGATCCTACCATCATCAGTTCACTCATTCCTACCTTCATGCCTGACTTCTGTTCAGTGGGATGAAATAATGTATAATAGAGAAGATTTGTAGCTCAGGTGGATGATTTGCAATTAATAATGTTCTCTGAGCTGGTTGGTTTAGTTGCGGAGCTTTCGTCGTCCTTCTGGACAACATCCCCCTTCAGCGCAATTTTTAGCATAAAGTAAAATGATTTAAATTTTCCATGAGTGATATAATTGCGTCTCCCGGTAACCATCTTTACATATTTATGGATCATTTTTTATTGACTTGGATTTTAAAATTTCTGGTCATATACACATTTGAAGACATCAAATTCACAAGAGAAGAAGAATTAGACCACAACAAAATATTATTTTTAGATGTCTTAATCAGGAGAACCAACACAGGAAATTTAGAAACACAAGTATATAGAAAATCAACGCACACATATCAAATACTCAACTATACTAGCAATAATCCAATTATCCACAAACGAAACTGTGTGCAGACATTGTTTAAAAAGGAGTTCAAACACATTGTAGCACTCCAGAGTTGAAAAGAATGGAGGAAAAGTACCTACAAACGGTCTTCAAAAAGAATGGTTACCCAAAAAATTTCATCAAAAAGTGTTTGAAGTCGAATCAAAACACCAACAAGAAACCATCATCAAAGACCACAAGAAAATTCATTCTACCATACATGAGAAATATCTCTGAAATAACAGCTAGAATACTGAAACCGTTTGATATAGATATAGCACACAAACCAGTCAAAACGCTTGATTCGATATTATGCAAACCGAAAGATCAAACAGAAAAAGGGGATAAAATTAATACCATTTACAAAATAAATTGTATGAACTGCAACAAGCATTACATCGGTCAAAGTGGGCGTCCCCTACGAATCAGAATCCATGAACATAAATCAGCCATGAAAAGACACGATATGCATTATTTAGTATCAATGCATATAGACAATTATGGTCATCATTTTGATTAGGATAATGTCAAAATCTTAGACAGAGGAAACACCAAAAGTGCAGTCAGGGAATTCCTAGAAGCCTGGTACTCAAACGAAAATGCAATTAACAAACACGTTAATATAGACGAAATATACCAACTAATAAAAAGAAAGTTTAAAATCCAAGTCAATAGAAAATGGTCAATACATATGTAAAGATAGTTACCAGGAGACGCAATTATATCACTCATGGAAAATTTAAATCATTTCACTTTATGCTAAAAATTGCGCTGAAGGGGAATGTTGTCCAGAAGGACGACGAAAGCGCCGCAACTAAACCAACCAGCTCAGAGAACACTATTAATTGCAAATAAAATAATGTATGTTCTTACCTAATTAATCTTATGTAGATGTGTGCAGTTTAAAGCGAAGCCTCGAAATGAATCATTTTGAATATTTCGTTCTGCAACGGTGGCTCAACTATAGGGTCCTTACAAACCACGCACCTGGTCAGAGGTTCGAGCCCCAGCTGACGCACTACTAAACCTCATCTAGCTCACAGTAAGCCCGGTAAAGAGCGTTGGAGGTAGCAACCTCACTCTGTAAAAAACAAACATCACTGCTACTGAAAATTTTCAAAGCTCAATGCTTGAAGCCCTCTGTTCCCCTCGGAATGCAAAGGCATACAAAAGATCCGTATCGCCGAGTTTTAAAATTCAATATGCAATGACGTCAAATATATGTAAAAAATGTAAGTACCTTCCTTTGTTTTGCATCTTTAACTGTCCCGCCCAGTTTACATGCTGTATGTCCTGTAGGCGGTTTTGATTTCAAACGGCTACCAGTTATTGTGGCTGTTCTACTGCCTGCAGTTCCATCGATTCCACTGGTTAATGCAGGATAGTTTAACATTTGTTGTAACAGTTCAACTTGTCCACGCCAATAATCACGATCTGATTCAATACCAGTGATAAATTCATCCAGTTGGCTGATACGTTTACTTCGACCATCACTTGTCCCACCATGACGTTTAAGCCTTTCTAATTCAAGAACTAAAGCACGTTCTAAAGAAAAAAGAAATAGAATGAAAAGAAATTTTATCTTTTATTTTAAATAGATGTATTTTGATCATTGAATATTCTAGTTTGTTTAAATGAATGAAAAAGTAAAAAACAGGGAGGCAGGGTGGGAATATGACTTGATATTATTGACAAGGCAAAGCAACTGCAGGCAGGCTTAGTTAAGTGTCTAACAAACAGAGCAGTAGCACTAAGTAGCACAAAAAAGACCTAAATGATGAAATAAAACAGATAGAAGAGGCGTTGGTGTTAAATAACTATCCTATAAAATTCACTAGGAAGATCAGTAAAGACCAAAAGCAAAATAAAAATAATTGTGAAACTAATAATGATAACACAAATAAGAGAGAATATAAGTCATCTACAGTAATTTTACCTTACAAGGAGGGAGGGGACATCTGAGACCCTACGTGGGATTCTTAACAAAGCAGGAATTAGAGTGGCATTTGAACCTACAAACTCACTCAGAGACGAGCTCTGTAGGCTAAAAGACCCGGTGGACCCAATTAAACAAAATAATATAATTTACAAAATACCCTGCAATGACTGTCAGGTCAACTATATAGGTCAAACTAGTAGATCGGGGGTAATCAGATTGTCGGAACATAAGAATTTAGCTAAGGTAAGAATGGTTGATCCCGAGAAGATAAGTAATTTAGAAAAAAGCTCACCAGCAATTGCACTGCATGCATTAACACACAACCACACAATAGGGTGGTGGGAGAGGGTTAAAATTCTAAGGTGTAATATAGGTAGGTGGAGAGAGAGTTTGATTACTGAGTCCACCCAACACAACACGTGCAACAGAAATGACTCAACACAAATACCAGAGATATGCATGGAAGATATTATTACCACCAGTCAGTCAAATCAGAGGAGGATAATAAATAACCTTGAAATTCTATTTCATTTCAATTCACATACATGATAACATTCTAACAAGTTACTTATTTTGACTATAAAAACACTCGTCTTATTTCCCATCTGATTGTACTTGATTGATAACACTCATATTATTATTTCTGAATGTACATTATCCCATATTGATTTTTATTCAAATGTCTAATCATCAATTTCACTTATGTATATAAATGAAGCAAGAAAGTTGTGTGAGTGAATACCTTGATATGATTATGAGTGGCAATAATTTGTGGTTGAAACGTGGTCATCAGTTAATATTACTGTATAACAACACTGTGTGATTTATCAAAATAAAATCTTATCCATAATGGAGTTAGACTCTACCACCACAGTGCCCAAGTTTTATACTTATATCAATAAAAGCAACTGCAGGTATCACTAGCTAAAAGGACTAACTACTTGAATACTGTAAGTATACGATTGCACACGCCTACCTATACACAACACAAATGCGCATTGCTTTTACTTTGGTAGCAGGTTACACGAAGAACAAAGTCTGTCAGATCCCTCAGTATATGTACATATGTGGTTCAAATGTGCACGCTGTCTGGGTTAGATTCTCGGCCAACACACACACTTCTGAATCTCGCCAAGCCAGTAGTAGGCCCGGTAGAGATGGAAGATTGGGTGTGAGACTATAGCGACCTCAATCTTCACCACCACTGAAAATTCAAAGCTTTAAGCCTGAAATTCTATGTTCCATTCGCAATGTAAAGAAATGAAAAATACCTTAAGGTCATATCCTACTGATAAACAAATAAGTAGTCTCCTTCATTTATACAAATCAGTAATGAAAAGCATTATTGATTACAAGCTTAGTCAGTCATAAATCCAGTTTTGCTTGGATTTGGGATAATTTTAATGTAGATTTTTGTCATTAACTGATGTCAAGGGTAGAACTGTTGAAAACCAAGCGGCACCAGATTACTTCGAATTGCTAAAGCTGTAGCCATTCAAGAGCTGAAACTTGAATTATGTGTGCAAAAAGCGAGTGTTACTGACTTATAATCTTGCCTTGGTGAGCACTGACTCTTTCATCCTGAATCATCAAGATTTCACTTTACTTTTATGGTGTAACTTCATATTTGAATTCATCATTTTTCAAATAAATTATATTTCAATAGTTTAAACGCGATGATTTGTAAGGATTAGATTTGCTTTTACGACTTTGACTAGGGACTGAAATCACTTAGAGAACCATTGAAAATCAGCACTAGAGTACTGGACAGCTTTTCTGTCAGCCTAGTTTGGGAATCGTCGGGAGTATGCACCCACCACCAAGGTTCGAACCCAGGACCTTCCGGTTACAAGGCCAGCTGGTTCGTATACCTTTCAGCAACTGGGGCTAGATTCAATGGTTCTCTAACTAATATCAATCCCTGGGGAAAACTCGTTAAAGCAAATCTAATCCTTACAAACCAACTATTGAAAATTAAGCTGATGCTCACTAGTGACTTGCTACAGGACAGAGTTTCCGAGAGTTCTAGTGAGAAGTCGTGATCACTGAGGTCCATTCAGTCACGTGTGAGGATGGATTTCCCGCTGATGACATTGGTCGCGTTAAGTCATGGGCTGGCCGTTGAATCGGGTCCCAGTGGTTGAATGGTATACGAGCTAGCTTGCTTTGTAACCAGAAGGTCCTGAGTTTGAACCCCGGTAGAGGCGTACTGCCGATGATTCTCAAACTAGGATGATACAGCAGCTGTCCAGCACTCCAGTGCTGGTTTTCATTGGTTCGCTAACTGATATCACTCCGTGGTCGAACTAGTAAAAATCAATTTATTCAAGATATATTTTCAGTGTGACAGTGTGGCATTCAAGGTCATACACAATATCATAATTTCGAAAAACGGTTTCACACTCTGAATTTAGACATTTGAGAATTTAAGAATTACTCTACATATAGATACATATACATGGTTTGAGTGTAGATCTGCGAGCACCTGATAGACCACAAATTAGGTCAACAAATGACATGAGTTGAAGAACCACTGAAAACCAGCGAGTATTGGATAGTTGTCCCATCCTAGATCGCTAGATATCTAGATTCAGTGGACATTAGAATCTATGGTTCAGCCAGTGAATTCCATCCCAATGGTTGGTTGGTCAACGGACAAGCCATGTAAACTGAAGGTCCTGAGTTCAACCCTCCACAGGGTCCCACACTGTAACAAAACAGCCCTCCCGTACCCTGTGAAATTCATTATTTCTGTAACTGACATTATTCCGTGAAATATATATATATATATTAAAAACATTAATTTAAGGTGTAAAATAAAAATAGGTGAAAATACCATTTGCAGTTAACTTTTCAATTCTTTGAGCTAATCGCTTTTTGTCTTCTTCTGCGCGTAAAATTAAATTTCGCATATCCCTTTCACTAGTACCCATTGTATGACATTTTTTCTGTACATCAGTTAAACTACGCTCAAGATTTTCTCTTTCCTGACATAGTAAAGAAAAGAAAAGAGAACAAACAAACAAACAAAATGATAAGAGTTGATTAATACTCAGTGAAATAATGCACCAATTAGATCATTTTCAGCATATAAAACAGCCTGTAAACCTCCAGATCATGGATGTCGTCAAGTCAAACTAAGTCACTATAAAATTGTTCTTTGCTCGCCGATTGTTTTATGACAAAGCTTGAAAACTCTCAACTTAGTCAAACCACCGATCATTTCAACATTTGCAAAAGAAACGTAGACGACACTTTCGTTATCTGCGATAATAACGTAATGCTTGATGATGTCTTGTTTGCTTTCAACAACTGTCATTCTTCTTTACAATTCACCATAGAAAAGGAATCTGAATTAAGTATTCCATTTCTTGATGTGTACCTTAGTAGACGTAATGACGGATGTCTCAAAAGATCCCTCCACCGTAAACGTACATGAAACGGACAACTAACTAATTTTTATAGTTGGATGCCTCTCTCCGGGAAATGGAACCTAATTCATTCTCTTTACCTTGGGATAAGAAACATTTGTAGTTCTGATTGCGTTGACTCAGAACTTGACTTCCTAAAAGCCACGCTCGCAGAAAACGGTTACCCTAACCGATTTATTGACAGTAACACGAAAGATAAGCAGTCTAAACTGGTCACCGACTCACTTCCAAAGAAAACCTTATTCATGAACTTGGAATTCAAAGGTGATCAAGCTTCAGATATGCTCAGAACAACCGTCTCTCTAAATCAATCAGTAAGACGTTGTTTGCAGAAAAATTACAAATGATGTTCACCAGCCACAAGTTGTTCTCCATCTCTGCACAAGATAAGCTCCCCCGTCTAGTCGTCTCCATGTGCATCTATCAGTTCACCTGACCCTATTGTGGAGCAAGGTATATTGCCATAGGGCGTAGCCAGAGGACGCTTTCCACACGGATACGAGGACATATTCCAGCCACATGGTTTTACAAGGGAGAAAGGAAGTGTGTGAGAAGCTCTGTTCTAGAACACCTGATCGACTCCTGTCACTCTGCCAACTCTGACCATGATTTTAATATCATATACCGAATCCATGCTAACCTGCTGGTTGCGTTTTCTTCGTTACAGACTTCTAAAGACAGTGGAGGCTCTGGCCATTCATGACTTTAAGCCAGTGAGATGTTTGTGTACAGAAGAAGTATGTACAATCACTACTTCCGCCTTGGCCTTAGAGGGATAGACATTTATTTATTTTGTTTATTTAGTTATTCCATGTACCTTTCCATTATCACTACGATTATTATTATTATTATCATTATCATTATTATTATTCTCATTCTGAATGGTTTCCGCTTGTCCCACTTGTCATTCTAAATCAGAAATTATTATTTCTTTGTTTTTACAATATTGAATTCCATCGTATCAAATTTCACACCATATTATGTAACATTTTATATTCTCCTACTAATCCTATAATTGTGTACCCTTTTCCAAAATCTATACACCTTATGAATTATTCTATATATGACATTGATTGTTTTGCTGCTTGACTTTTAACTATGATTATAATCACAAATATTTTAATTGCATTTCATACCACTGTTAGTATTTCGTGTGTTCACACCTTTGACCTAATTCCCTCACCGGATATAATTTCTTAAAAACCAAATGTATACAATTGTACAGCTTGATAATAACTTCGTTGTTGGAGAGAGTCTCTTCGCTGAATACTGTGCTCTTAAATATAACAGCCAGTAAGAATCAGTGTTTAGAAGAAAAACACAATCAAAGCAAGACTGGATGTATATAGTCACTAATTAGCGAATTGATAGAAGTTAGAATTCATATGATAAGCCATTGGATTCCATTTCAGAGGCTAAATCGTCAACCGGCCTGTCTCGTAACCTTAAGATCGTATCTTCGGCTCCTAGCGGTGGGCTGATGAATGCCTACCACTGCAGTTTCAAGGTTTTCAGCGGTTACCCAAGGGATATTAGTTCGTGTTCCAACTTGAAGCTATTCATATCCCTGTGAACCGGCAATTGAAAATATAAAAGCGGGGTTACCAGTCATTTTACTTATTTATTTTATTTTGAAATAGTACTTGTTTGCAATGACCAGTAATATCGTTCAAAATGAGCGTTTCATCCTTACTTAAACTCATCCGGTGTTTTGCTAAAATTCTGTTTGTTATAAACCCTTGAATTCGTATCACTGTGCTTTTTTTGTTGTACGGTATGACAGAGTTATATAAATTCGTGAATAATCCTCATCCAGACAGTTAAGGAAAAATAGGCAAATTTTAAGGAATTTTATTTTCGCTGATTAAAAATGCCCATTAAAATCTTTTTCAAAAAAACGGGTACTGAACAAAGAATATTATTTTCGATAACCTACTCTTCTTCATCCGTCTCTACAGCTGTATATACAAATTATAGTGAATGGATGAATTAGTGTTGTGAAAAACATTAATGTTGTTTAAATAACGTCGAATCAACAATATCAGTGGATTACAGTTCAATGGCATCAACATAACAATAAACTGAATGTCAGAAAAATTAGGAAAGATAATATTACAAATTGATGAATTTATAGTCTCTACTGAAGGCCGGTCAGGGCAGTAGTAGTGGGTGGCTGGACTTGCTTCTTTTACACACAAAGCACTGGTTGTTTCACGCGAATCGCTATATCCCTTGCTGTTTGGATTATGCGGTACCTGGTGTTTATTGCAATTTATTTGGTACTCGGCGGATGATGATAGAGAAGCATTCTTCAATACTGGCTGACTTTGTGGCCGGTTTGTACCAGATGGTCCAATATCGAAATATCGATGGTTTTAACTACACTCTCACTTCGCCACACTGGGAGATGTTCCCGAGAGAGAGCACGAAAAATCAAGTTCGTAGAGCAACTGACGATAAATCTTGCTTCACAAGCGCAGTTGAATTCGTAGATACAATTTGAATTGGCTCGAGAACATCTCCCAGTATGACTAAATAAAAGTGTAGTGAAAGCCATTAACAGTTCAATATTAAACCATCTGGTTCAAACCGGCCACAAAGCCAACCAGTGTTGAAGAATCCTTCTTTATCATCATCTACCGAGTACCAAATGAATTGCCAAAAGCATCGAGGTACCGCGTACTTCAAATGATTCGAAGATATTTAAACAACATTAATGTTGTTCATAACACTAATTCATTCATTCACTATTATGGATGGATATATAACTGTAGAACCTGATGATGAAGAGCAGGTTATCGAAAAGAGTATTCTTTGTTCAGCATCCATTTTTTGAAAATCTTATTTTCTTTAGCTATATAGTCACATTTATATACAACTGTCATTTCCACAGAAAAGGATAGTAACATTATATATGAATTGCCTTGCAGGCAAAGTATTATTATTATTTTATTATTGTTCCCTTGGGTTCCTAGTGAAACATAGGGCTTCAACTACACGCCTCCACTTGCTTCTGTCTTCTGCTGTATTTTTCACTTGCATCCATGTTAATCCATACTATTTCAGTTCCTGTTCACACGATCTCCTCCATGTCACCCTTGGACGTCTCACTCGCCACTTCCATTTCGGGTTCCACTCGAACACTAGCCTGACGCGCGATGTCACCCAGCGGCCTCCTCAGCGTGTGTCCAATCAATGGTGGCATGGCAGGTAATATTAATTCATTCACATGTTAAGTAAAAGTGACAGTGGTATGCCACAAGATAAGTAATTTTCATGAATCAGTTTTAATCGAAATGCTCATTGAAATGACAGGGAATGTGATAACACGTAAGAGTTCACAAGAAATAGAAGAGTTAGAAAGAGTTAAACACAAAAACAGGCTAATATGTGTGTAAAATTTGGGCACTGTGGTAGTAAGTAATTCCATATATTAGTTTGTTTATTAGATGCATCACACAGTCAGTGAAACAGTATTATTAACTGGATTACACAGTTTCGAACAAAATTTAATCATTGTTCATAATCATTTCATCAATTATAATCACACACACGACTTCGAAACTTGAATTCTATAGTTTTCTTGGTTCTCTCCTATTTATCGTCACTGGGGCAGTAGAATTTTCCAGATATCTGGGTGGAGAGGGGTTAAATCATTCTATCACACGTATTTCCAGTTGAATGCCACTTTTATTTCCGCATTTTTAGGAATTCTGCGTAAGGCTTCCGAGGTTCCTTCCCCTGTATGGAATCACTACTGATGATTTAGATTCCTTATTGTTGGTGTTGTCTTGCGCAAGTAAGGAACCTCGGACGGCTTACGCAGAAGTGGTATTCAAACCCACTCAAACTCAATTAGAAACAAGCTTTGTTCGTTAAATGGTGGGTCCTGTGGAGCCTTTAACACAAAACAATTTAGTTTATCTAATATCCTGCTGCTGCAATTGATTGTCAGGTCCAATACATAGATCAAAGTAGCAGAACAGGTGCAGTCAGACTAACGGAGCACAAAATCCTAGCAGCAAAATCTAGATTAGTTGACTCGAATAAGATAAGAAATCCAGAGAATAGTTCAGCTATAGCACTCACTAAATGCAACTGCACACAACCATACAATAGGATGGGATGGGATAAGATGACAGTTTTAAAGTCTAATCTAATGTAACAGATTTGAGGGAGAGATTGATAACAGAAGCTTTGTTTATCGAATCAACTGAGAGTGAAAACGTGTAATAGGAATGATTCAACACCTGTCCACCCAGATATCTGGAAAATTCTACTACCCCAACGACGACAAATAGGGGAGAACATAGAACACTATAGAACTCAAGTTTCGAAGTTGTGTGTGTGATTATAATTGATGAAATGATTATGAACAATGAATAAATTGTATTCGGAACTTTGTCATCCAGTGAATAATAAGACTGTTTCACTGACTGTGTGATACATCTAATAAATAAACTAATATGGAATTACATAAACAGGTTCATCACCATGACAACAAGAGTGGTCTAAGAATTTTATTTTGTATTTAGAGCTCCAGTCTTTCTTTCTAG